CCTCCTCCTCCTGCTCCTCCTCCTCCTTCCTCCTCCTCCTTCTCCTCCTCCTCCTCCTCCTTCTCCTCCTCCTCCCCCTCCTCCTCCTCTCCTCCTCCGCCTCCTCCTCCTCCGCCTCCTCCTCCTCCTCCTCCTCCTCTTCTCGACTACGACTACACGAAAGAGTGGCCGTTCGCCGGAGCGACCTTTGGTGCGGGCTTACCGGGCCCCCCCCGCCCCCATCGCTGGGCGCGATGCGGTAGTGGCTTCTTGCGCGCTCGGAGTTGGCCACTTCGCGCCCCAGGAAGCCGCGCACGGGAGGGTCATTCGTGCCTATAGGATAGGGTCCTTCATGCGTGTCGTCGATCCTCTCTAGTGTTCTCTTCTCGGATTCGGGCCAATGGGTTCTTTGCGAAACGGCGTCTCCAAACATGTAACTCCGCAGTAGTTCGTGCAATTGTTCGTGAGGGACACGCACGTCGTACCCTATCAACACGTGGCTGCCACGCGCCATGCGCACAGGATGAACTATAGCATTTGTCCTAACCAATTTCTACTTCTGCCGGCCTTCTGCGAGCGGACCCGCCCCCGTTGTGCTTCCGACAGGCGTCACGACGTCACGCCGGCCCGTCGAGATCACACCAGGGCATAATACAGCATACCAATTAGAACATGATGGAATCTAACATGATTGAAGCATGCGGTCAAAACACAACAGCCACAAATGAATGGCGCCCTGTCAAACGTAGCATCCACGCCGACGCAAGGCCGGCCACAGGACACACACACACACAGACGCAGCAACGGCCGATTAGACGTCACTCCGCTCCGTCGAGGCCAGAGCATCAAACACGCATGCGCGAAGAACAACACATAACCGAACAGAGCGCGGTAGAGCAGAATGCAGCAGCGGCCGAATCGTAGCGCCCCGTCTATTGCGACGTGCGCACCGAGCTCAGGCTGGCCACAATAGCAAACATCAAGCAGTGACGAATCGTCCTGGCTCGCCTATAGGCCCACCGAAAAATGTTATAAGAACCTGTCGTGGTCTGCAAGAAATGTTCTTAGAGCATTTCTGGCTTAGGTGGTCTTGTTTTAACACATCGGGCTTATGTTCTAAGAACATGGATGTTGTGATTCGAACGTCTTGGGGTTCTAAGAACATATCGTGGTAGGCCTATAGGAATGCCGGGACGGTCTGTCCCTGCTCAAAGCAGTACCAGACTTGGTGACGACCGCCGAAGGTTTCGGTGCGGATCGCTCCAGTGGCAGCATGTGCGTGGGCCCCGTGGAGGCCTGGACCACTCCCCCCCGGGGACCAGCTTCTCACCCCTGGCCGCTTTCTGTTGGAAGGCCCCGGGGGGGGGCCCGTGCGGCCCCCCGTGCGGCCCCAGGGCCGCCCGGGGCCCCCCGGGGGCGCCCCCCGGGCCCCACGTGGGCCCCCCGGGACCCCCCGGCGCCCTGTGAGGGCCCCCCGTGAGGGCCCCCAGGGCCGCCTCGGGGCGTGTATGCTTTCGAACTTGTATTTGTATACTGGTGCTCTCGTTTGAGCCTCGGCCACAGCCTAGCCGTCTTTTGCGAGCGCCACCTCGAGAGCGAGACGACTGGCGACCGCAGCGGCCGTCCCTTCGTGCTGGGCGAGCGCCACACCTGGCGTTCCGTTTGGACGGAAAGCGTCGGGTCTGTTGCCGATCGAGGCTGCGCTAGGTTTGCCCCCAAACGTCAGGTTCGTGAATGGGCCGTTGCAACACTGCGGCCACATCAATATGCTAACCGCAGAGTCAATACGACATGCAGGTGCAAGGATCAAGATTAGCAGGCGAAGCGCTGCGAGCCTAAACATCTCGTGTACATACATACACTTAATCGATATACAGTGGAGGCCCATGCCAAGAAACCCCGCCCTTGCCTCCAGGGTGGCCTGGGTGACTTGGGCTTCGATGGCCTCGCCACGGGAAAAGCGTGACGTTGCCACACCAGGCACCGGCGGGCGTCCGGGGCCTCAGGGCTGGGATTCTTGCTGAAGGTTTCTTGTGTTCGGGCCCTTACTCTATATGTGTACATATATATATGTATATGTATATCTATATATATATATGTATGTAGAAAGATGTGTATCTCTATATATATATATATTATATATACAAGGGCGTGAGCATGTCTGGGCCCCCCCCCTTCGTCCTACCCGACCCCTCTAGGCCTCCGCCCCGCGGGCCCCCGCGGGGGCACTGCGCGCCTCCGCGGCGCCGGGGCCCCTCCCGCGCGCGGAGGCACGGCGGCGGCGGTGCGCAGGAAACGGGCGGGGGCCGCGCGGGGGCCGCCGCGCGGGGCCGCGGCCCCGGGGGCCGAGGCGCCGCCGACGGCGGCGATCGGGGGGCCACGTTCGGGGAGGACGAGGAGGAGGGGGAGGGGGAGGAGGAGGAGGAGGAGGAGGGAGGAGGAGGAGGAGGAGGAGGAGGAGGAGGAGGGGAGGAGGAGCAGGAGGAGGAGGAGGAGGAGGAGAAGGAGGAGGAGAAGGAGGAGGATGAGGGGGAGGGGGAGGAGGACAAGCTAGGCGCGCTCGCGTCGTATCTGAAATCCTACCCCTCCCTCCCATCCCTTGCCATGGCGCAGATGCCCTCTCTACTCGCACAGTCGGATGCTGAGCAGGGCAATGATCCCGAAAGGGTACGCGATGCATTCATTGTAGAGCACGGCGTGGCATGGCGTAGAAGAGCACCGCAAGGCGTAGTATCAACCTAGCATTGCATTGCATGCCGTGGCATGGCACGGGAAATGACGCCAGCGCTGCAGCGGGAGCACGAGTCGAAACGAGCCGAAGCGCGGAAATGAGGCCAGCGCTGCAGCGGGAGCACGGTTCGGAACGAGCGGAAGCACAGAAATGATGCCAGCGCTGCAGCGGGAGCACGATTTGGAATGAGCGGGGCCTGAGAATAAGGCCGGCGCCTCAGCGAGAGCAGCTTTAAAAAAAAGCAGGCGAAAACCCAACTCTGGGGAAACCTGTGTAGAAAAAACAGTATGCGGGGGGGGGGTCGGACACTCCCAGGCCGTCATCAGGGGAAGAGGGAGAGTAGTATTCATATTGAGTAATTGTGGAGGAGGAAGAGGAGGAGGAGGAGGCGGAGGAGGAGGAGGAGGAGGAGGAGGAGGAGGAGGAGGCGGAGGAGGAGGAGGTGGAGTAGGAGGAGGAGGAGGAGGAGGAGGAGGAGGAGGAGGTGGAGGAGGAGGAGGAGGAGGAGGAGGAGGAGGAGGAGGAGGAGGTGGTGGAGCGGAGGAGGAGGAGGAGGAGGAGGAGGAGGAGGAGGAGGAGGAGGAGGAGGAGGAGGACGGCATCCCCTCGCCGGCGACAGGCGGCGACCGGCGGCCAGGGGGTGGGGGGATGCAGGCCTCGATCTTCGATCCTCGGTCGCTCCTCGAGGGGGAGGTCCAGGGTCGAGGTCTCGAGCCTCGCTCCTCGGTCGCTCCCCGAGGGGAGGAGGAAAGTAGATGTCCCGGGTCGAGAGCGTGGGCGGTCGGAGGGCCCGTCCTCTTGGGCGGGGGCGGCGGCACACGCGAGGGCCAGCCCAGGAGGGCTCTGGCGCTCGAGGCCGCCGCTCGCCGCGGCGCGAGGAGGTGGGCGACGACGGCGTCGAGGGTGGGTCGAAGGCCAGGTGGTGTCAGGTCACCCCTATGCGGGCAATACTTCTATCCATATCCAGTGCGTCTTGGACTTTCTTGGACGGGGCGCCGCAAGTCCGAGGCGCACTGGATATGGATAAAGATCGAGCCTTTCGGAGGCAGATTTCAATCCATATCCAGTGCGCCTCATGTTTCTGGGGAAGAGAGCCCGAAACTCCAAGACGCACTGGACGTGGATATAGACATTGCCCGCACCCTACTCCGAGTTCCTTAATCAACGTCGGGGGGGCGTCAGCCCCGCCGACAGCCCCGCATCGACCCCCGTCGCGGGCAGCCACCGCGCGCCGAAGGCGCTCCGATCTCGGCGCGACGACGAGGCACATCTGCAGAATAGGGCCCTTTATACCTAATGTTTTTGGCCCTCCTGATTTAGGTCCCCTCCCAAAAGGTTATGTGTCCTGTTATGGTTACTGATCAGGGGCAACGCAACTTTTAATGGGCAATGGCTCAGTGGAGGGGGGACGCACCGACGCCCCATCGCCCATCGATCGCCGATCTGGGCCCGATAGCCCCACCCCGCCCAGGAGCGTGCGGATTTCCTGTCGCTGGCATATCGCCGATCTATCGGCGACGCATCGCCGATTCCAGGTCGACGTTTCCCCAGGAGGACCCAGTCCCCCCCTGACGTTGCCCCTCAGGTTGGATCAGTGATCGAGGAGCTCTCGCGTCAAACAGCTGGCACGACCCAGGCTCCCGGCGCCTCGAGGACATCGAGGCGGCCGTTGCCATTCCTGGCCTCCGGTGGCGGGTGCCGGGCATCCTGTCAGGACACGCCTCGGGCTGCGAAGCTGGCCGCGGCGAAGGAGCCGACAGGTCGGGGGGGGGGGCCCACGCTTCGGAAACACATCGGAGCGCTGCGGCAGAGGGAAGCAATTACTGAACGCTCCCCCTCCGCCCCTCCCCCCCAAACTCAATGTTGGCGCGCGCGGGGGGGAGACTGCGGTCGAGGTGCATCTCATCAGACCCACCGCCAACTTTGAACATTTGGGGGGAGGGGGAGGCGTTGACAGGTGAGTGCGGCATGAGTGTGCGCTCATTTGTTCCGAGGCCTGCATCTGCCCGGGGACGGCCACGGGCACCCCTGGATGTTGGGAGCGGTGCCCTTCTGCTTGGCATCGCTCGGACGTGTGCATTTTTCCTTCGGCGAGGGCCATCGAGGAGCATGCTTGATCATATGGCGAACAAAAGCCACGCACAAAACCAAAAAAAAAGCACAGGGAATGGACGTCCGAGCGATGGCGAGTCTGCCTGGCGCGGTCGGGCTCCCCACCTCGGCACGCGCTGCGCGCGGGGGCCGCGGGGGCCCCGCGGGCCGTCCGGCGGCGGGGCTCGGCGGACAACTTAGGGCTCAGGTGGCGTGGCGGGCCGCGGCGGCAGGGCCCCTCGGCGGCGCTCGATGGCCGCCCGTGCGGGATGATCGCATGGCGCTCAGGACCAGGGCTGGACCCAAGAAGCGGTGCTTTTGGCGATCTCGTGGGCCGTGCTCGTGTCGACCTCGGTCCGCGGGAAAGGTAGAGGCGGGCTCGAGGCAAGAGCGAGGGAGAACGATGACAGAACGAAAACGGAAAGCACCGGTTAGGTTCGGCCCTGCTCAGGACCACCCGGCCCACCTGGGGGAACGAAGCCTGACATGAGCGTAACAACTCGGAGGCCCATGGGGATTTCTCGGATCCGCGCTGGACCCCCCTGGCGGCGCCTCCCGCGCCGCCCCCGGCGCGCTCCGCGCGCCAGGGAGGGGGGTCCAGCGCCGATCCGAGAAGCCCGCGCGGACCTCCGAGCTCTTACGTTCATGTCATTCGTCGTTTCCCTGCCATCGGAGACGGGGCGCACGTGGTGCAAGTTGCCTGTGGCGCAGAGCACGGGCTGCTGCTAACAGTCGGCGGCGCGCCGAGGGGGGAAGCGGTAGGGGCCGGGCCTGCTCAGGGGGGCGGCGGGGCTTCGGAGGAGGGTCTCGAAAGGTGTTGGGGAGGGCGAAGGCCCGCGGAGCTGTCTGGGAAGGCCCACCCCTTGTGCCTTGCTCTCTCCGGGCGCGCCGCCGAAACAGACGAGGGTGTCGTGTACAGCTGGGGGAGTTTCCGGTCACCTGCTGGTAACTGCGGTCAGCTCGGTCGGGACGTGAAGGACCCGAAGAATGCAGAGGAGCCGCGCCCGGTCCTGTTCCGGGGCAAGGACGTCTCGGAGGGGAGCAAGAGGGACAAGACCGACTCGGCAGAATGGAGCAAGAGGGTGGAGAAGATTTCGAGCCAAGAGGAGGTCATCGTGCAGGTCGCCTGTGGGAGTCACCATTGCCTGGCTCTTTCCCAGCACGGCACCCTGTACGCTTGGGGCAGCAACCACGCTGGCCAGCTTGGAGTGTCCGGGTTCCACTTGAGCCATGCGCAGAGCCGAAAGAACGAGCAGTGGACGCCAGTCGTTGTGCACAGGTTTGGTGGTAAGGATGACCAGGGCTGGACCTAAACGCTGTTTTCCTGGACTTCGGCTGTGTTTTGTTTTTTTTGTCGTTTGGGAAAAGCAGGTGGAGCAACAGGGAAAATTAGCTTGGCGAAGGGCCCAATCATATGCAGTTGTGCGTACCGCAATTATGAATATCTTGTTCGGTGCTCCCTATGGGACCACGAAGCGCTGTACTAGGTGGGTGAAACGCAGGGAGCAAGGGCTGTGCTGGGAGGTGGCTGACGCATGCGGGCGGTGCCACTGGGACCTTCGGAAGAGCTCCCTATGGGGCCACGAAGCGCTGTACTGGGTGGGCGAAACGCAGGGAGCAGGGGCTGTGCTGGGTGGTGGCTGACGCATTCGGGCGGTGCCACTGAGACCTTCGGTGGAGCTCCCTATGGGGCCACGGAACGCTGCACTGGGTGGGTGAAACGCAGGGAGCAAGGGCTGTGCTGGGTGGTGGCGGACGCATGCGGGCGATGCCACTGGGACCTTCGCTGGAGCCCCATATGGAACCACGAAGCGTTGTAATGGGGTGGTGAAACGCAGGGAGCAAGGGCTGTGTTGGGCGGTGGCCGGCGCATGCGGGCGGTGCCAGTGGGACCTTCGGTGGAGCTCCCTATGGGGCCACGAAACGTTGTAGTGGGTGGGTGAAACGCAGGGAGGAGGGGGAGGATGGCCACGAAACGCTGTACGGTGTGGGGGGGACGCATGCGGACGGTAGACTTGGAACCTTCGGTGGGGCTCCCTATGGGGCCACGAAGCGCTGTACTGGGAGGGTGAAACGCAGGGAGGAGGGGGAGGAGGGCCACGAAACGCTGTACTGTGTGGCGGGGACGCATGCGGACGGTAGAGCTGGAACCTTCGGTGGAGCCCCCTATGGGGCCACGAAGTGCTGTAGTGGCTGGGTGAAACGCAGGGAGGAGTGGGAGGAGGGCCACGAAACGCTATACTGGGTGGGGGGGGCGCATGCGGACGGTAGACCTGGAACCTTCGGTGGAGCTCCCTATGGGGCCTATGGGGCCACGAAGCGGTGTACTGGGTGGGTGAGACGCAGGGAGGAGGGGGAGGAGGGCCACGAAACGCTGTACTGTGTGGGGGGGACGCATGCGGACGGTAGACCTGGAACCTTCGGTGGAGCTCCTTATGGGGCCACGAAGCGCTGTACTGGGTGGGTAAAACGCAGGGAGGAGGGGGAGGAGGGCCACGCAATGCTGTACTGTGTGGGGGGGTGGGGACGCATGCGGACGGTAGACCTGGAACCTTCGGTGGAGCTCCCTATGGGGCCACGAAGCGCTGTCCTGGGCGTGGGGGGCGCATGCGGGCACCCCCACTGGGGCCTTCGGTGGAGTTCCGTATGGGGCCACGAAACGCTGTGCTGGGCGTGGGGGACGCATGCGGCCCCCTCCCCCCTGGGGCCTTCGCTGGAGCTCCCTATGGGGCCACAAAACGCTGTGCTGGGCGTGGGGGACGCATGCGGCCCCCCCCACTGGGGCCTTCGGTGGAGCTAGCTCCCTATGGGCCACGAAGCGCTGCCCTGAGCGTGGGGGACGCACGCGCCCCCCCCCCCCCCCCCCTGGGGCCTTCGGTGGAGCTCCCTATGGGGCCACGAAACGAATCAGCCATGGCGATGCCGATGATGACGATGATGACGATGATGGTGATGATGATGATGCTGATGATGATGATGATGATGATGATGATGATGATGATGTGATGATGATGATGATGATGATGATGATGATGGTGATGATGATGATGATGCTGATGATGATGTCGATGATGTTGATGATGATGCTGATGATGATGCTGATGATGATGATGATGATGACGATGATGATGATGTGATGATGATGATGATGATGATGATGATGATGTGATGATGATGATGATGATGATGATGATGATGATGATGATGATGATGATGATGATGATGATGATGATGATGATGATGATGATGATGATGATGATGATGATGATGATGATGATGATGATGATGATGATGATGATGATGATGATGATGATGATGATGATGATGGGAGGAGGGGGTGAGCTGAGACATGCGGAGAGCAAAGGCAAGGATGGGGGACGAGGGAGGAGGAGGAGAGGAGGAGGAGAGGAGGAGGAGAGGAGGAAGGAGGTGGGACGCGGGGCGCTGTCTCTTCAAAACGAGGACCCAACACCACAGGATGGTTGGGAACAAAACGCACACAAAACGAAAAACAACGTTAAGGCCCAGCCCTGGTAAGGACGACAGCGAGCCCTTTGGGAAGAGGTGCCAGCGACAGGCACAGGGCTCCCTCGCCGTCAGGAGCTGCGGCTGCGGTCCCGAGAGCTCGACGTGCGTGACCGACGACGGTGAGGTCTACGTCTGGGGCTTAGTGGGCCCTGAAAACGACAGGGCCGTTTTTGTTACCGGTTCCGGTTTGCCACTTTTTGATGATGGTTCCGGCGACTTTTTTGTTATTGGTTCTGTCTCCGTCGTTTCACGGGTGCCGGCTCCGGTTCGTTGCCTGGAGCCGTTTGTATGCCGTTTCCAGTCGTTTTTTTTTCCCCGCTTCCAATTTCAAGAGACTTCTTTCCGGAAGTGGTGAAAAAACGGCCCTGCCGTTTCCGGGGCCCACTGAGGTCTGGGGCGCGGCAAGCCACTACCTTTTCACCGGTGGCGGTCACGCGTACGCCCGTGGCGAGCACTGTACCTTGCCCGTGAGGGTACGTGGGCTGCCTCGCGCGATCGGGGCAGACTCTCTGATCCCCTCGGATGTGTCAGTGTATAGGGATCGTATCGCTTGCGCGGTCGGGCATCGGGACATGGAGAAAGAGATAAGCAGCCTCCAGAACTCGTTCAAGCACCGGTCTAAGCAGCTGGCCGCCCTGACGAAGAGCAAGAGGCGGGACGCCGCGAGTGCAGGCCAGGATGGCGAGGCTGACGACCTGAGGCTGGAGGAGCTGCGGGAGCTGGACAAGGATACGCAGAGGGCATCTGTACACATCACGTTCACGCCTGGCCGGCCCCGCCCTGGACCCCTTTGGTTGGGGAGGAGCTCCGTGTTCCTCAAGTGTTTCAAAGCTTGCCTCAGGTTTTCCTTATGTTTTCGACAGGAAATCGAAGGTTAACTTATGGAAAAAAAGGGGGCCTCGTTCCTTATTTAGGGTTCCTTAGGTCAAGGCCCCGACTGCATGATGGAGCCATCCTGGCCTCGGCCAGGGCGGCGTACACATCGCGGGCCCAGGACGGTCCTTTTGCCATATGCGGGGTGGTGGTGTGCAGACGATGCCTCTCCCGCGCAGAAAGGAGTTCGCGAAGACGGCCGCGGACATGCACCAGCGCCTGGCAGCCATCACCAGAGACTGGCAGCGAACGACGGCCGAGCTCGGCGACGTCGCCCGCGAGGTGGCCACGTGCGACCAGCAGGACCGGGCGCTCGCCGAGCGCTCCGGCGCCCTGCAGGCGGCCATGCAGAAGGCGCACAACAGCTCGAACCCGCAGCTAGTTGGTGACCTCAAGGACTCGATGGTAAAACAGTGCTAGGATCGGGATCAATCGCTCCAGAGCGTTCCGGAGCGCTCTCGGGGCGTTCCGGAACGCTCTGGAGCGGCCGCGGCGCCCAATACATCCTCCAAACCCGCCGATTCTCAGAGATTTCGAGTTATCCCGATCCGATGTTGTCCCGATCTTCGCGTCGTTTCAGATGGAGACAGATCGGCACGCGGCAGGCACATGTGAACTTTCCGAGGCACGCGCGGAGCCGGCACCATTCGTGCTCGTGCGGTTTCTTCTCTTCCTGCGGGCGTGACCTCCTGCGAAGGCCTTAACGGCCGGTGCCGCCGACCCCGAAGGGGGACGACGCCGACGTTGACGGCGACGACGACGATATCCCAACAAGTCAGTGAGTTTTTATGTTCCTGGGATTGCCATGGGCGTGCTCTTGGGGCTCACGTTGTGAGCCACGGGGGGCCTCTCGGGGCCTCCCGAGGCGGAAGACTCGGCATGTCGGGTGGTGCCTCCCCCCGTCGGGAGCCTCTATCGGGGCCCCGAGGACGTCACCTACTTCAAGGAGTCCAACCGGCGGACGAAGCTGAGGTACGTGGAGAGGCGAGAGGAGCTGGACAGGCAGGAGCAGCACCTCGCGGAGGACCGCGGGCGGGGCGCGGGCCCATGTCCGAGGCCCCCGAGGCCCCGGGCGCCTCGGCCGTGCAGCCCTGCGCGGCTGCCCTCGGAGGACACAGAGGTACCCAGTGACGCTGCCCTTGCCTCGTTTCCCCCTGTCTGGGCCTCCTGGGAGGCCCTCGTCGCCGCCGTTGGATTCGCCTCGAAGTCCTGGTCAGAACGCACCCCCCGAGAGGTCCGGGGAGCATGACGTCAAGACGCTGAGGGAAGGACCGCTTTGAGCTCGGGAGGGGCTCGGGTTCTCGGGCCGTTCCTTGGCTCCTTAGATGGATGTCGTGGACCCTGTTTGTGGCTCGGGCCCAGGCCCGCCCTGGCCAGAACCGCCCCCTCGGCTCCCTCCGATGCGTTCCTTATGGCAGCACGAGGACTGCAGCGGCATCGGTGCCTGTTGGCCTACCCATTGCCCAGGCGGTGCCCAGGCGTGGCTCGCGTCGCGAGGGAAGGTCGCGACGCGCAGGGGCGAAGGCCGCCGAGTTCGGCCTCCCGGGGAGCCCTCGCCAGGCCCCCGGAGGAGAGAGTCCACTGCTAGGCGCGGGGGGCCCCGCGGGTGTGCCACAGTTGTTCGGCACGTCTCGCCGAGTTGGTTTGTGGGTGTCTGGATGTGCAGCTGGATTGGCGCCCGCCCCCCCCCTGCGGTGTTGAGACCAGCGCCTTGCTCGGGCCTTCCTCACAAGTCTGCTTGAGAAGTCAGGGGGTGGGGAAAGAGGGTGATGTGTGGGGGGGGAGTAGTGAGGAGGGGAGTGAGGAGTAGGAAGAAGAAGAGGAGGATGAGGAGGAGGAGGAGGAGTAGGAGGAGGAGGCGGAGGAGGTGGAGGAAGAAGAGTCTGATTAGGAGGAGGGGAGGGGGATGAGGAGGAGAAGAGGGGGGGAGGAGGAGAAAAGGATGAGGAAGAGGGGGATGAGGATGCGGAAGAGGGTAAGGAGGACGAGGATAGGAATCCCCTCCTCTTCCTCCTGATCCTCCCAGTGCCTTGCTCGGCCTCCCCACGAGCTGCTCGGGCCTACACACGACGCCCTGACCCCACCCACAGGAAGTAGAGGAGTCTCGGCCACCATGCAGGCAAAGGACCTGAGACGGTCCCACAGTCTGAGCGCGACTGGCCAAGTGGCCAGAGCCCTGGCGGCTCCCCCTTGGGGTGCTGAAGCCAGCGCCTCGCTCGAAAGGTCTTCTCAACCGGCTCTGACAGCAGAGCCGTCGCAGCAAGCAAACAGACAGGCATCCCCACAGGCAGGCCGCGAAGGTGCCCGTGCCATCCCTCTTGGCGGGCCCCTCCTTGGGGTGCTCAGAGAACGAGCGCCTCTCACGAGACGTCCTCGCAGACTGCTCTGGAAAGCAGAGCTGCCCAAGCAACCAAACAGGCAAGCCGCTCGCGACATCCTCACAAACTGCCGCGGACGGTCCCATGCAATATCCCCTGGCGGGTCCTCCCTGGGGTGCTGAGACCAGCGCCGCGCCTGAGACATCCTCCCAACCTTTTCTGAAAGAAGAGACGCAACCCAAGCAACCACAGAAGCACACCGCCTGATCTGAGTGTGAGTGAGAGTGAGCGTGCGCAATCTGAGTGTGAGTAAGTCTGAATGCGATTGGGCCTGAGAATGAGTGAGTCTCAGTGTACGTGCGTCTGAATGTGAGTGAAGATGAGTGTGAGTGTGTCTGCGTGTGAGTCAGTCTGAGTTGGAGTGAGTCTGAGCGCGAGTGAGTCTGGGTGCAAGTGATTATGAATATGTGTGATTCTGAGTGGGAGTGAGTCTGAATGCTACGTCTGCGAGAGGAAGGAGGAGGATACGATGATGATGATGATGATGATGATGATGATGATGATGATGATGATGATGATGATGATGATGATGATGATGATGATGATGATGATGATGATGATGATGATGATGATGATGATGATGATGATGATGATGATGATGATGATGATGATGATGATGATGATGGTGGTGATGATGATGATGATGATGCTGATGCTGATGCTGATGCTGATGCTGATGCTGATGATGATGATGATGATGATGATGACGACGATGATGTGATGATGATGATGATGATGATGATGATGATGATGATGATGATGATGATGATGATGAGGATGAGGATGAGGATGAGGATGAGGATGAGGATGAGGATGAGGATGAGGATGAGGATGATGAGGAGGATGAGGATGATGATGAGGATGAGGATGATGAGGAGGAGGAGGATGAGAAGGAAGAGGAGGAGGAGGAAGAGGAGGAGGAGGAGGAGGAGGGATGATGAGGAGGAGGATGCACATGAGTACTGTCTCGACGCGGAGATCCCCCTAGGTATATCTCACATTCTCGGCACGTCTCGTTGAGAGTGTTTGTCTGTGGGTATCCGTGTGTAGCTACACTTGCGCCCCCTCCTTGGTCGAGACTTCCTCACACTCCGCTAGAAGAGTAAGGAGGTGAGGTAAACAGAGGATGCGGGGAGCAGAGAAGTGAGGATGGAAGTGAGCAGAAGGATGAGTAGGAGGAGGACGGGGGGAGGACGAGAAGAGGGGGACGAGAGGGAGGAGGAGGAGGAGGAGGAGGAAGAGAGGGAGGAGAAGGGGAGGACGAAGAGCAGGAGGAACGGGATCAGAGCCCCCATCCCTCTCCTCCTCCTCCTCCTCTCCTCCTCCTCTCCTCCTCCTCCTCCTCCTCCTCCTCCGCCGCCTCCGCCTCCGCCTCCGCCTCCTCCTCCTGTGCAAGAGGGGTCTGGACGACCCGCCCTCGCTCGTGCCGCCGCGGCCCTCGGCCTCTCTGGCCATCTCGTCGGGGGTGGGCGTGGGCGGGGTCTTGGCCGGGCTGGGACCGGGACGGACCTCCCGCGTGGCCTCGCAACCCGCTCGGGCGCCGCTCCCGGGGGCGAGGCTGCGCCGACCGGGGGCTCGGCTCGGTCGCGGGAGAGCGCCCTGGGGCTCGACTCCGGTCGCGGGCGCCGCTCCCGGGGCGAGGGTGGGTCGCGGGAGAGCGCCGTCGGCGGCTCGCGCTCCCCCCCCCCCGATGACGCGGACCCCTGCCCCCATCGGGAGTTCACGCGTGTGTGTGTGTGTGTGTGTGTGTGTGTGTGTGGATGTGGTGGCACCTTTCTAGCCGTTGCCGAGCTCTCCACCTCCTCCTTCGTCTCCACCTGCTCCTTCGTCTCCACCTCCTCCTTCGTCTCCTCCTCCTCCTCTTCCCTCCTCCCTCCTCCTCCCCCTCCTCCTCCTCCACCTCCTCCTCCTCCTCCACCCGATCTTCCTCCCCCTCCTCCCCCTCCTCGTCCTCCCAGCGCCTCGCTCGGGGCATCCTCTCGTTTTGCTCTGGCTCCGCACGTTACCCTGGCCCCCCACAGGAAGCAAAGGCGGCGCCTGGGCCACCAGACAGGCACACCGGCGGAGCCATCCCCACAGTCTGAGCGCGACCGGCCAAGTGTCCTACCTCCTGGCGGCTTCCCGTTGGGGTGCTGTAGCTGGAGTCTCGCTCGGGACATTACATCGCAATCGGCTCCGAAAGCAGAGACGTCGAAGCAAGCAAACTACCACTCAAATCATTCGAGCCATTCTCACAATCTGGCCGAGAACGGGCCCGTGCAATAATTACCCCCCTGGCGCCTCCCCCCCACCCCTGTGGTGCTGAAGCAAGCGCCACCCTCGAGAAAATCCGAAAGAGCGCTTCTGCCGTTATTAAGCCCCCCCCCGTTCGAACCGGGGGGGAGGTAGAACAGCCTCCCACTCCGAACCAGAAGGGGGAGGGGCGGACCCCCCCCCGATTGGAACCTTGGGGGAGAGGGGTTGAAAGGAGTGTCTCCCCTTCCCCACGTGTCCCCCCGATTCAGACCCGGGGGCGGCCGAGGAATTCCATCCCAGCTGGACCCAGCCCCAAGCGGATTCAGTCAGAGCGGGTTCTAGTCTGTGTAACATTCCATGCAAGCTGCGGCGAGCCCAAGTCGGGTTCTATCCACTACGGCTGTCTCGAGCTCTAGCAGGTCGGATCCTAGTAGAGTTGGATCCAAACCGTAGCTTAGGATCCTTGTAGGGTTGGACGGGGCATTCGTAGGATCCTAATAGAGCTGGGCCCAGCCCATTAGTAGGATTTTATTAGAAGTTGGATCGAGCCCTAGTGGGATTCCATTGGAGCTGGATCCAGCCATAGTTGCAGGATTCGATTGGAGCTGGATCGAGCTTTTTCAGGATCCCATCCCATTAGAGCGGGATCCAGCCCACGTAGTATCCTATGAGAGCTGGACCTGGCCTCTGCATGCTTCTTCTGGAGCTGGATCGAGCCCGAGAGGAGCAGCCCATCGGAGCTGCATCCAGCATCCGTGGCAGGATTCGATCCGAGCCGGCTCGAGAGCCGGGCCCGCGCCACCCCCGGTTCGAACCGGGGGGGGGGGGCTCTGCTCCTTCCCCCTTGCCCTTGGAAACGGGGGAAGGGTGGAGAGATGTTCCCCGCTTCCCCCCCACCCCCACGGTCAGGCGATCGCAAGCATGGCTCAAGGGGGCTTGGATTAGCGACGGGTCCCGTTTCCATGGGAAGTCCCAGACTTCCGCCGCCGAACCAGGCGGCACAGGTCGCATTTTCGGGCCCCCCCCCGATCCATGGACTTGGCGACCGCGCACCAAGTCCATGGATCGCTAATCCATGTGTGCGCGCCTCCTCCCACGTATTTGTTGCCAGTCGTCAGGCGGTGGTCGGTAGATCATGCTCCCTGATGCTCTAGGCCTCCCAGATGGGGTCGGAGTAGATGGGGTCGGAGGATCGCGCCGCATCGCCGATGCGGCTCGGTGCGCAGCCCGATTTGCTTCACGTCGACGTCGCCGATGCATCGCCGACGTCGACGATGCCTCGCCGGTGCATCGCCGATTCATCGCCGATGCATCGCCGATGTCGGCGCGATCTTCCGACCCCATCTACTCTGACCCTATCTAAGAGGCCTCGTAGATACATCCTCACAATTTGCGCTGGCAGCGGCGATGTCCAGGCAGCCGTGCTAGCAGGCACACCGCCCGAGACATCCCCAAGCCAGGATCCTGCTGGCCGCGAATTGGCCCGTGCACGCCCTGGCGGCCCTCCCTTTGGGCTGCTGAAGCAGTCGCCTCGCTCGAGTCAGCACCTGAGGAGGAGGAGGAGGCGGAGGAGGAGGAGGCGGAGGAGGAGGAGGACGAGGAGGACGAGGAGGAGGAGGACGAGGAGGAGGACGAGGAGGAGGAGGAGGAGGAGGAGGAGGAGGAGGAGGAGGAGAGGAGGACGAGGAGAATGAGGAGGAGGAGAGGAGGAGGAGGAGGAGGAGGAGGAGGAGGAGGAGGAGGAGGAGGAGGAGGAGGAGGAGGAGGAGGGAGGAGGAGGAGGAGGAGGAGGAGGAGGAGGAGGAGGAGGAGGAGGAGGAGGAGGAGGAGGGGGGGGGGAGGGGAGGGAGGAGGAGGAGGAGGAGGAAGGAGGAGGAGGAGGAGGAGCAGAACCTGTCCTGAACGCGACGACATCCAAGCAACCAGACAGGCAAAGCGCTCGAGACACCCCCCACAAGCTGGCCGCGAGCGGGCCCGAGCCGCGCGCTCTGCCGGCCCCTCTTGTCGCGTGCTGGAGCCAGCGCCCCGCTCGGGACACCCTCACAAGAGAAGCTCGCCAGTGGAGGGGCTCCTCCTCCTCCTCCTCCTCCTCCTCCTCCTCCTCCTCCTCGTCCTCCTCCTCCTCCTCCTCCTCCTCCTCGTCCTCCTCCTCCTCCTCCTCCTCCTCCTCCTCCTCCTCCACGTCCTCCTCCTCCTCCTCCTCCGCCTCCTCGTCCTCCTCCTCCTCCTCCTCCTCCTCCTGCTCATCCTCCTCCTCTGGTCTGAGAGCGGCGGGAGCAAAGCAACCGAACGGGCAGCCCGTCTGAGACATCTCAGCATCATGCGAGTGAGTCTGAGGCCCAGACCCCCTCGAGTCATGAAAAAATCACGACGCGAGGTTTTTCGGTATTTTCGGCATCTGGGGACCCTTACCGGCCCTCAGGACCGTCAAAAAACGACTCGGGATGAAAAACCGGTCCCGGGGAATCGGTCCGGACCTCTGGGGGTCGCGTCATGAAACAATCATGACGTCGGGGGTCTGGGGGGTGAGTGAGTCTGAGCGTGGGTGATCTGAGCATGAGTGAGCCTGAGGCCGAGCGAGCCCGAGCGCGAGCGAGCCTGAGTGTGAGTGAGACTGAGCGTGAGCGAGTCTGAGCGTGAGGCAGTCTGAGTGTGAGTGATCATGAGCATGAGGGAGTCTAAGTGTGAGTGAGTCTGAATGCTGAGTCTGACTGCGGCCGCGACTGCGACCGCGAACTGCATTGCGGACCCTGCAGGTGCCGCGGGTTGGGACCGAATCTTCAAATTGCTGTACAAAGCGTATCCTCAACATTAGCCGACACGTCCCAGACAGCATACGTCATCCTCGCGTAGATTGAATCACGCACCTCACATGCATCAGACGCTGATGTCGCTTCTTCCGATTTGAAATCCTCTTGGTGATCTGGTATGAATTTGAAGATGTCGTCGATGCACCGTTTGTTGTGTTGTGCGGACGCCATTTTGCCTTGATTGCTGATTTCGGCAGAGGAAGAACGAGCAGGAAGGAGGAGGCGAAGAGTCGATAGCGTCTGAGTAATACCGGGAACCCCATCTCAGGATATGCGGAATAAGCAAACAAATCAGGATGTGGGGGAAAGCCTGCCCCGGGTGACGAAGCGGCCCCCGGGGAAGGGGGAGAGATTTCGGGGGCGCCCACCTTGAACATATCAGGACGTCGGACGTCTGGGAACAATCCATGGGATCCCTCATGGGGTATGCCCTCACCGCGAGGGCACCGGTACGGACGCGCTCGCCGCTCGCTCGAGAGGAGAAGCAGCTCGCGGAGCGGGAGATCAAGCGGGTGGAGGGGCAGAGGAAGATGATCCGCCTCCTGCAGCGGGGCGAGCTCAGCTCGAAGAGCGCCGCCACCGCCGCGCTGGAGGCGGGCTTCAAGGCCCGCGGGGCCAGGAACCTCTGGCGCCACACCACCCCCGGCCGCGCGGGCTGGGCCCCTTTGGACAGGCTTGAAAGGTCGAGCCGAGCGATGCGCTGCGATGTCGGCGCTGGCCGGCTCGATCCGATTGGATTCCGAGGTTTGGGCGATCTTGCCGTCCCCCTGAGCGGCTCGCTCCCCTCTCGCCCCCCTTTCTCGGCCGCTCTCTCTGCCTCCCTTCCCTCCTGCATAAGTGGCACACCTCGCTGCAGCGGTACCCCCCGTTGAGGTAGCCCTCCGCCCGCGCAGGCGCCCCTGCCTGGCCGCCGAGGCAGAGAAGCGTTGGGGCGATCCGATGCGACCCGGGGGCAATGGCATCCTGACGTTATTGATTCATGCACGTGCCGAGCTAATCCGATTTCCCGATTCGATACTGACGGTAGATTCCCATCTGGAGTTAGTCGAAAGTATGTGTCTGACAGCCTTCGGCACATCCCGCAACCGTGCCTGGGTCAGAGGCCTTTAGGTTTTTCGTTGGGATGTGTGCCGCTGGGAGTCCTCTTGGGGAGCCTCGGGGCCTCCTGAGGACTCGAGGACCTCTTGGGGGCCTCTTGGGGCCTCCTGGGGGCTTCGTGGAGCCGCGGGCTCGAAATGTCCGTTGGAGGGCCCTGTCTGGGCCCCCTATTGGAGCCGTTTGGGGGGGCTTCTTGGGCCGTCTTGGAGGCCTTTTGAAGCATCTTGGGGCCCTCTTGGGCTGTTTGGGGCCGTCTTGGGGGCCTCTTGAGCCGTCTTGGGGCGATATTGGAGGCAATTTGGGCCGTCGTGGAGCTCGGGAAGTCAGAAATGTGAGTACCCCAAGAAACCATTTTAAAACATGGATTCGCTATGATGTTTGACTTTTGGGGCCCGCTTGGGAGGCCTCTTGGGAGACTCTTGGGGCGTCTTGGAGGCCTCTTGGGCAGTGTGGGGGCCATCTTGGGCCGTCTGAGGCGCTCCTTGACCGTCTTGGGCGCTCGGTGGGGAGCTGGCACTCCACCTCGTGCCAGAGGCATGGAGGCGGATTTCTGAACCCCAAGAGGGGACTCCAAATCGACTTCGTGTTCGAATCGCTCTTGGAGGGCTTTCCAACGGCCCAAAGGAGGCCCAAAAGACGCCCCGGAGGGCCCCAGGAGCGCCCAAGAGCGCCCAGGAGCGCCCAAGAGCGCCCCAAGAAGACCCCAAGAGACCCCCAAGAGCGCTCCAGGAGCCACCCAGACAGCTCACAAGAACCCCAAGACGGCCCGAGAAGGGTCAAGAAGGCCCCAAGAGACTCCCGGGAGCGCCCCAGGAGGCCCCCAAACGGCCCAAGAAAGACGCACGACGGCCCAAGATGGCGCCGAGACGGCCTAAGAAAGCTCCCACAGAACCCCACGACGCGCCCAGACAGCCCAAGAAGACCTCAGAAGCCTATAAGAGGACCCAAGGGGCCCCCAAGAAGCCCCCAACAGGCCCCGAGACGACCCCGCGCGGCGCCAGAAGCAACGTCTTTGTCAATTGCCTCTTACTGTCCTCTGTCGTCGTCGTCGTCGTCGTCGTCGTCATCGCCCTCCGCATTCCTCCTCGTACTCGCCCTTGTTCTCTTCGTCCTTGTCCTTGTACTTCTCTTCCTCCTCGTTGTCTTCATGTTCCTCCTCGCTATCCTCACGTTCGCCATGTCGTCCTCGTCATCGATTCCTCCTTGCCCTCGCCTTCCTTTTCTTCTTCGCCCAATGCGGCCATTAGGTTCTGGTCCGATCAGGTTTCTGGACCCCTAGATCGCAAGATATTTTTTAGTGGCCTCCCTGCTTCAATCTTCCCGTGGCCTCCCCTTCCGTTTTCTTTGTCTTCAAACGGCCCGAAAGGGCGCCCAGAGGGTCCAAAAGGCTTTGAAGAGAGCCCCAAGAGGGCCACAGGACCCCCCCCGACCGCCCGGGAGGGCCCCAAGACGGCCCCCAGCCGGTTCCAAGATGACGGGAAGCGCCTTTGGCGTGGACCGTTGGTTCAGGGGTACTTTTGACGGGAAGTGTCTCTGGCGTGGTCCGAGGACGCGCCGTTGTCGGCGCTAGTTCCGTTCTCCCCGTGACCTTCTACGTCACATGTTTGCACCTGCGGCCCTCAGAACGGCCCCAGAGAGCCCCCGAAGGCCACCCAGGGGACCCCCAAAGCGCCCCAACAGACCCCCAAGTGGTCCCCACGAGCCGCCCAGAGGCCCCCCAGAGCGTCCGATGAGGCCCCAGGACTACCCAAGAGAGCACCAAGACGGACCAGGATGCCCCAAGATAGCCCCAAGATGGCCTCAACAGCAAAGAGGGTAGCCTCAAAAGATCACGACGGCCCTTCTCTTCATCGACGCCCTTTTCGTCTGCTTCCTTACTATCTTTCATCGTCGGCAACGTCGTCCTTCTTCCCCTCCCCCTCCTCCTCCTCCTCCTCCTCCTCCTCCTCCTCCTCCTCCTCCTCCTCCGCTTCGATCGTTCCTCGTCGTACTCGTCCTCCTCAATCTCTTCCTCGTCCTCGAACTTGTCTTCCTTCTCGTTGTCCTTCTGCCCCTCTCGCTGTCCTCCCCGTCATCCACGCTACCATCCTCGGCATCCGCCATCTTGTCGTTGCCGTCATCCTTTCGTACTTGTCCCTCCCAGGAGGCCATAGGACAAAATCAGCGCTTCCCGTTCCTGTCCGATCAGGTTTCTGGACCCCTGATATTCTTCAGCCGCCTCCTTACTTCAATCGTCCTGCGGCCTCCCCTTCCCCTTTGCGTTTCTTCTGCAGGGGGCGGGCGAAAACCCAATCTTGTTTCATTGCCTTCCTAATTTCCTCATGGTTCTATCCACTTCTTCCGACCCATTGGCACAGGGCCTTTCCCCGCGGGTGCCCCGCGCGGAACGCATCCGCAGCCATGCGACCGCGCATCCCCAGGATTGCGCACCAGGATCCAGACCGCGAAGGCGCGCAGGTGCCTATGCTCCCAGACCTTCGTGGGCCCCGGAAACGGCAGGGCCGTTTTTTTGCACCGTTTCCGAGAAAGTGTCATGACAATGGAAGCGGCAAAACAAAATTTTGATTCGCGGGTCGAGAGCGCACCTCTTCCGGTCGAAGGTAAGCGGGCCGCGCAGAGCTTGAATTGCGCAGAGAAAGGGAAGGGGAAGGGGGGGGCAGAAAAAGGGGCGAGATGAAAGAAGCGGCAAAACAAAAGGCGACCGGAAACGGCAAAAATCGACTTCAGGATTGGAACCGGAGCCGAACCCAGTAAAACAATGGCGACGGCACCGGTACAACAACGGCGTGGGAACCGGCAACAAACGGCAAAACAGAAACGGAACAAAAAATGGCCCTGTCGCTTCCAGGGCCCATTAAGTGCCAGAAGTCCGGTGTGTTCATTTTTGCAACACGATGCCAACAACGGCCCAAACCATCCGTCCTGATATTTCCCACGACGCGAGCATCGTGGCGGCGTGCACCTTGCAGTTACGCGTTCCTTGTAATACCTGCCGCTGTTGCGCACGACCTGTTGTGTGCTCTTTCATTCCAGTTCTGTCACCACCGGCTTCTCGGCGCGGCCCAGTATGATATACCCCCTGTTATTCCGACAACAGCACGACCAGGCATGGCCGCGAGGATGGCTTGATTGCTCGATTCCTTGGAGAGTAAAAAATGGGCTCGCCGCCAGCGCGAGGCAGCCGCGCGCAAGCGGGCCGAGCTCGCGGCCTCCGACCCGGCCCTGCTCGCGGGGTCCGGGTGCTTCTCGGGGTTGACGGAGGTGCTGCAGGTCGCCGACTCCGCGGTGGACAGCAGGGGCAACCAGGGAGAGGGGTGGACAGGGCTCGTTTCGATTCCTCCGACTCGATTCGATGCGACGTCTCGATGGCCTCCGATTCCGATTCGGTTCGGCTTGGGATTCCGATCTGGGATCCGATGCCTTACTGGAGGCCTACCAGCCTGCCGATTCCCGCCGATTCGACTCCTCCCGACTTGGCTGCCGACTTCTGCCGATCCGATTCATATCGATCGCCGATCCTTGAATCTGGCATGCCCCTCTGCAGGAGGAATATTCGAGAATAGTCAAAAAGTAGCCTGGGGACTATTGTGTTGGGATTCTTTTGGGGCATTCAGATTTGTCTTTTTTTTGTTTTTACTTTTGTGGTGACTGATCGTCCAGGATCCGCCTGTAGGAGGACATGCCCGACCTAAGGGCAACCTGGGAGAGGGGTGGACACGCTCCGAGGCTTTGCATCCTCGGGGCACGCGTCCTCGCAGCTGCGCCCCGCCGAGGGGCGTCCTGAGGGGGGGCCCAGAGCGTCCCCCAGCGCGAGCCGTGGCCCGAGGACTCGACGGCGAGGAGCCCTGGGCGGGCAATTAGGCTCTGGGAGTCACGCATCGGCCCCCCGAGCGCCCATACAGGGCCGTTTTTAATACATGCCCCGCGTGCGGGTCATGTATTACAAATGCAGGGATTTGGTACTAAAGCCAAAGATGAGCTCATGCATACATTTACTCCTGAATGGATCATGTGTTAAACATCCCATATTCCTGAAAGTCCCATGTGTCAAACACTGCCCTGTATAGGTTCTGGGAGTCACGCATCGACCCCCGAACGCCCATACTCCAGCTCCATGAATTTACTCATACATGAATCATGGATTCAAAATCTTATCTTTTTAAAAACTCCTAGGTGTCAAAACCTGCCCTGTACACTCTATAGCTCCATGCTCCCCCCCCCCACAGGGCGGGTCCCCGCCGACAGGACAGCACGTCGACCCGATTGAGGGAGGTGACCACCGTGTCCGGCGGCGGCGCCAGCGTCGTCCTCGAGGACCCGCGGCCGGGAGCGCGGGCTCGGCGTGTCGCGCCGCCGGTGCTGGCCCATCGCGTCTTTCGGGGGCAGCGGTCGGGGGGGACATTATTCGCCCTTCTCGTCGCCGCCAGGGGGCATCCTTGATCCTCTTGCAGAGCATGGGGCTCGCGAGGGCGGAGCACGCACATCCGAGGGGAGGCGCCGCCAGGGGTGCGGGGGCACGGTGGCCCGGCGCCGCCCCGAGAGATCCGCGCGGACCTGCGCCAGGTGGCCTTTTCCCCTTCCAGGTGTGCACGGTCCGCGTCCGACGCGCCCCGCCGATGGCGGACCGCCTGCTGGATGCAGCTCGACGCTGATCAGAAGCTTCTCTCCCCAAACAGCTGCATGACAATTTAAGGGATCGATGCGATTCTTCTGGCGCCCCGGGAGGGGGCCTAAGCCCCGCGACAGTGGCGCGGCGACGTGCCCCCCCCCCCCCCCCCCCAGCGGGTATTGATCCCCGGAAGGCCCGAGCCTCTCCCCAGTCGGGGCTTAAGCAGACGGGGGTCAGCGCAGACGGTGGTCAGCCAGAGCGCCGGATCTGGCAGGATCCTGCAGAGCCAGGGGTGCACTGACCAGGGCTTAGGTGCAGGATCCTGCAGCATCCTGCAGGACTATGCAGGATCCTGCAGGGCCTTCTGGCCCGGGCCTGGGTTGACGATCACCTACCCAGTTTTTTTTTGTTTTCTTCCCACGCTGCTTTTGGACGACCCCGGGCCCAGCGACGGCCCTTGTCGTGTTTGTCTGTATTGCCACCCGAGTTCCTCTAGGAGTTCCTCCTCCTCATCCTCCTTCTCCTCCTCCTCCTCCTCCTCCTCCTCCTTTCCCACGCGAGTTCCTTCCCAGGAGACCCTGGAGGCCATCGTGCGGCTCCGCACCGAGTGCATCGCGCTCGCGCGCGCGCGCCTCTGGCGCCTGCAGCGCAGCGACCGCGCGCCCTCCCTCGCTCCCGTGCTGGGCGATGACAGCGGCGCGGCGTCGCCGGGCGCCAGTGGCGTCGGGGCGTCAGCGCAGCCCAGCCACCGACACCATCGAAGACCCAAAGGCAGCACAGCACACAGGCTCCCTTGAGATCCTGGCGGCTCAATTGTTTCGAGCCGGGCATGTTCGCTTTTTTTGGGGGGGGGTGCTGCAGCCCTGACAGATCGATCCAGCCAGAAAAATGACGCAGAAAGATTGAGTCTAGGGCTCCGGGCGTGAATTCTTACGATGTTGCAATTGTTCCGCTACGTCGGATCTCAGGGCTCTCCTTATGCTTGAATTGCACCCCCCCCCCTCTCACCCATCCCAGCCTGGACCTCCCTCCCGGCCAGCCTATCCAGCTCGCGACCTGGTGATCCAGTGTCCTGTCTGGGGTTACGTGGTCTCTGCCCCGGTTTCCTCAGACACGCTCGCGTCGTGATGGCATGCGCCGTCTTCGGCATCCCGGGCTCTTCGCCCGTCCCCGCGGGGTCCTCAGAGAGCGGCTCGGGGCGAGGTGCCAGCCCCGGGGCGAAGGCCTGGACCTCAAGGTGACCCCGCATCGGAGAACGAAGACGCCGGATTCGAGTCGGGGGTCGACTACAGCATGGATCTGCCCCAAGAGATTGCTTCTCGTCGAGTCCATGGAAGATGCGGCGTTTTGTTTGTAGATGTTCGAGGAGGAAGTCATCGGGTTGACCCAGAAGGGGGTCCAGCGACAAGGGGGTGGTGCAATATATTTGGTGCAACAGATTGGTGGGGTTTTGCTACAATTGAGGCGTGCAATACATCTCGGGGCGCAAATGTATTGCTGGATGTTCGCGTGCACTACGTTTGTTGCCATACAATACAGCACACTTCCCTGGCGCAATACATTTGCAGTACAACTGCCCCAAATCTATCGCACCACCACCTTGCAGCCGGAGCCCCTGTTGGGTCACCCGAAAATCAGTCTTGGGGTAAAGCAGTTCATTCCCTGCTCGGCGGATGCCCAACATACTGATACTATACGTGCGTCGCCCCCCCCCCCCCCGGGAGCGACGCGCGCGCCGAGGCGGGCGCTTTCTGGCCACACCGCTCTCCTCGCGATTCTATCCCCCCCAGCCTGGCCGAGCCAGCGGGGAACCCAAGGCCGGGCCATGCCAACGGTCGCAGACCTGCACAGGATCGCGTCGCACGGTGTGTGTTTGTTTTCTCGAGGCGTCGGATCCCAGGAGGGAGAGCCCAGGCCTCCCATAGATGGGATCGGAGCAGCTGAGGTCGGGGGATCGCGCCGCATCGCCGACGCGTCGGCGATTCGGCTCGATGCGGAGCCCGATTCGCTTCACGTCGCCGTTGCCGACGCGTCACCCTCTTCGGCGATGCATCGCCTTTGCATCGCCGATGTATCGCCGATGTATTGGCGATGCGGCGCGGTCCTCCGACCCCATCTACTCTCCGACCCCATCTAGGAGGCCTCTGGAGAGGGGGCCCCCTTTCTCTGGTTGCCACGACGCGTGTGCCACAGCACGGCGGTACCAACACATCCTCTCGTGGAGGGCGCGCGCGCTCGAGGACCACGGGGAGGCACAGTGCCCCAATTTGTTCGAGACGTCGGATCCCAGGGGAGAGACAATGAGAGAGAGAGAGATGGCTTTATTGTTTCTCTGGTCGCCCAGACGTTTCATTTGTTCGAGCTGTTCGAGACGTCGGATCCCAGGAGAGAGAGAGAGAGAGAGAGGGAGGCTTCTCTGATTTCTCTTGTCGCCAAGACGCGGGTGCCGCAGCACGGCGGTAACGACACGCCCTCCCGTGGGGGGCGCCTCCCACGGGCAGGGCGCGTCGAGCAAGCAGGGCGCGGGAGCCTCTCGGCCTCCGCCCTCCCGAAGTCGCCAGCAGAGTGCGCTCTCCGCGCGCCGGGGGGAGGGGCGCGGGGGGTGCAGCGTCGACACCAGACACAGAGGGGGCCCATGCCAAGAGACACCCTGCTCGCCTCCAGGGTGCCCTGAGTTTCGATGGTTTTGCAATGGAAAATGCGTGACGCTCCCACACCAAAAATCGATGGACGTCCTGGGGTCTCAGGGGTGGGCTTCTGGTGGAAGGTTTCTTGTGGACTGGCCTCCGCTGTATCTTTGCGAGCCTACCCCAAACATCCGACGTCCTGATACAGGGAGACGAACAATGATATGAACATGAAAACTCTGAGGTCCGCGCGGATTTCTCGGATCGGCGCTGGAGCCCCTTGGCGGAGCCTCCGGCGTCGCTTCTGGCGCGCTCCGCGCGTTAGGGAGGGGTGTCCAGCGCCGATCCGAGAACTTCGCGCGGACCTCCGAGTTTTTCATCGTTCGTCTTCCTAAGATATCCGCGCGGACCTACCCCAGACATCCGACGTCCTGACTAAGTGAATGCGACCCCCTCCAGAAATCCCGACCCCCTTACCAGGGCTCTTTTTTTTCCAGACGGTCCCCGGGCTCTGCGAGGGCTCCCGGGAGGCCGCGCATTGCGAACAGCCGCCCGCCTTGATCTTGACCTTCCACGCGAGCATGTCGAAAGGTATGCAAGCTGAGGTTTGTGCTCTCTTTGGGTCTTCAGCTCCAGACCATGCTCGACTACTTCTTCGAGGCGTCCGACCCGGCCCTCAGCCAGCCCAAAGACATGTCGGGCTGGGGCCTGGCAGCCCTCGGCCTGTGACGGGGCCGCGGCGCCCCCACGCCTCGCTGGGCCCCACGCGCCCCCCCCCTTGGATGACCTCGCCTCGTCCTCCTCCTCCTCCTCCTCCTCCTCCTCCTCCTCCTCCTCCTCCTCCTCCTCCTCCTCCTCCTCCTCCTCCTCCCCTCCCCGCTCCCCCGCCCACTGCGCTCGCCCCTCCCGCCCAGGGTGCAGGAAAGGCCTTCCCCCTCTTCTCCCGCCCTCCCCCCCCCTCCACGCGCCACCCTCCCGCCTCCACTTCTCCTTCGGGCCGTGAGAGGCTCACAGCCCGTCCAGGGTTCTTGCCCATGCAGTCTTCGGCAAGAGGCCTGCGCCGGGCCCCCCGGCGCCCTTCCGGGGACCCCGTCTTGGAACAATCCAGGCATCGGATTTCTGGGTACCCTTCAGTCGGGCAGGTACCTCTTCAGGAGGAAAATATCGAGTATATTTGAGCATGTCTGCATAATTGCAACTTTCGTCCAACACCAGCCTGTAGGATGACATGCCCGACCTAAGGGTACACCCTTTTTAGATCCGCTGCCCAGAGATCCCGACCTCTTCCCCGGGCCCGCGAACGGGCCCCATGGAGGCCGCAGTCCAGGAAACATTGCCGGATTGCAACCTCTCATCCTCGGGCCTCTGGGCTTCTCCCATCACCTCCTCCCCGCACGGGGGCGCAGCGTTGGCAGGCCCTTCGGGGTGACTTTAGGGGTCCAGGAGGCCCGTACACGAGCAGAGGCGCATCCCTGCCGGGCGCTGGCCCGCCGACCCCCGCTGAGCGTCGGGACACGGGCGGCGTTGGAGGCCGAAGGGGGAGGAGGAGGAGGAGGAGGAGGAGGAGGAGGAGGAGGAGGAGGAGGAGGAGGAGGAGAGGAGGAGGGAGAGGAGGAGGAGGAGAGGGGAGGGGGGGAGGGAGGAAGAGAAGGAGGAGGAGGAGGAGGAGGAGGAGGAGGAGAGGAGGAGGAGGGGAGGAGGAGGAGGAGAGGGAGGAGGAGGAGGAGGAGGAGGAGGAGGAGGGAGGAGGAGGAGGAGGAGGAGGAGGAGGTGGAGGAGGAGGGGGGGAGAGGGAGGAGGAGTGAGAGGGGGAGGAGGAGGGGGGGAGGAGGAGGAGGAGGAGGAGGAGGAGGAGGAGGAGGAGGAGGTGGACGAGGAGGAGGAGGAGGAAGAGGTGGAGGTGGAGGTGAAGACGCGGCCTTTCGGGGTGGCGGCGCTCGCGGCCGGGGCGGTCGCAGCCCCGCGGGGCTTTCGTTGCCTCGGATCGTGCGGCCCCGGGGCCCCTGCGTCGCAATTTTGTCGGGCCTGTCCCTTTGAAATATCGCAGGCCTAGAGGTTGACACCAGCACCAATATCGGCGGTGTGCCTCCATCGGGGGAGGAAGATCCTGGTCTCGGCGATGGTGGTATTATTCTGGCCTCCAAGGTGGCCGAAGTAGGACCACCGGCGCCGAGATCTAGGTTCATCTTCCCCCTGTGGAGGCACCCCCCTGTGTTGGTGTTGGTGACCATTTCCAGGCCTCGAAGAATATCCAAACATAGTCAACAAAATAGTCAGGGGCTGCAGGAGGACACGCCTGTAGGAGGACACGCCCGAACTGACGTCTCAATGTTGTCGAGCCGGGCATTCTCGCGTTTTTTGTTCTGGCCCTGGGGTCTTAGCTGGATCTGGATCGAACATGACGCAGAGAGATTGGGTCTACAGGGCAGTGGCGAAGCGTCCTGGCTCGCCAATAGGCCTGCCAAACAATGTTCTGAGAACCTTGTGTGGTGTCCACGAAATGTTCTTAGAACATTTCTGGCTGGGACTGTCTTGTTTTGCACATCGGGTTCATGTTCTAAGAACATAGTTTAGGTTCTCAGAACCTTTTTGGGGTTCCAAGAACATGTCGTGGTAGGCCTATAGAAATGCCGGGACGGTCGGTCCCTGCTCAATCTAAGGGCTCCGGGCGTGATTATTTGCGATGCTGCATTTTTGTTCGCGACGTCGGATCTCAGGGAACTGATCGTCGTTCCCTCCCATTCTCAGCGCCCTTCTCTGCTTTGCCCTCCCTTTCCCCCTCCCTCTCTCTCGCCCCTGTCGGAGGACGCCAGCTAAGTACCGCTGCGCCGATCTTGGCCAGCACAGCCTCGGGCCCCTGGGATCACCGGCGTCGATTTCCAATCTGCCTGGGGGGAACAACATGGGAAATACATGGGAAGCGGAACGTCCATGACATGTACTCCGGATTCCATAATAAAGTCGGGGGGGTCACATTTGGGGGGGTCTGATTTGAGCTGTCTTGGAGGGTTCGGGGGGGTCTGGGCAAAGGGCCGCCCTTCCATGGATGGTCTGGGAGGGTCTAAAACTTCTCGCCTGGGAGGGTTGAGACCCCCTCCCTTTTATTACGAAATCTGGAGTGCACAACTCCAGGGAATCCTGGAACGTACATGTCTGTTTCTCTGGGCCCTCCCTGCAGGCCCCCTCCCCTGGGTCCTGAAGAAGGAGCCCTTTTCGTTGGGGAGGGGCTCGGTGTTCCTTGAATGTTTCACAGTTTGCCTCGGGTTTTCCTGAGGTGTTCCAAAGGGCATCGAGGTTTAACTCATGGAAAATGGGGCCTCGTTCCTTATTTTGGGTTCCTTAGGTCAAGGCCCCGACTGTATGTCTGTTTCTGTGGGCCCTCCCTGCAGACCCCCTCTCCCCTGGGCCCGGCGCCTGCCCTGGCCCGGCCCGGCCCGTCGTGGGTGCAGAGGCTGGCGCCCTGGATCCCCGTCGCGTCGCCACCTGCTCGCAGCGTGGGCCCCCAGCGGGCCCGACCGCTTCCCCAGGACCGGCTTCTCGTCTCGAGTCTTACCTGGCATCGCTCGGACGTGTGCATTTTTTTCCTCGGCGAGGACCATCGAGGAGCATCCTTGACCATTTGGCGAAAAAACCACGCACGAAACCGAAAAACACACACAGGGAATGGACGTCCGAGCGATGGCGAGCTTATGATGTTCGACTAGACGTAAAGAGTGACCTTTCGCCGGAGTGACCTTTGGTGCGGGCCAAATGGGTTCCCCGGGTCGCCAACCGCGATGCAATAGTAGTGCCTTGCGCGCTTGTGTTTGGTCCCCCCGCGGTCCCCAAGAAGTCGCGCACCAAAGGCCAATCTTACCCAGGGTCACTCTTGCGTGTAGTCGAGATGTTCCGACTTATTCGGGCCTCGATCACCAGAGAAAGACTTTCGAGCACCAGGAATCCGGACCGAAGCTCGAGGAGCTTCACGTGCCGGGCCTCGGGGGGCGATGGTCGTTCGACGCTTCGCCAGCGGGTCGTGCAGGCACTGGTTCGATGCCTGGCGTGGTGCTCGAACTTAGTTCTTTCAGGAGGGACAAACACTCACAGACACAATTAATCGTCGATTCGCAGGAAACTATAGGAAAATATGGGCAGTGGGAGGGAAGACAAAAACTTGAAAATATGTGAGAATATGGAGGATAGTTCTACTTGTGTGTAATTGTTTGTGTGTCCCAGGGCCCCTTCATTCTTGGGTGTGGCCCTTAAGCGCGATGGGAGCAGCACATCTCGAGTCGGTCTCCTGGACGGCCCCGGGGCCCCGCGAGGGCCCCGCGGAGGCCGACGAACGGCCAGGTAGAGTCCGTCAGGTGCTCGATCATGGACCCCTTCGTGCACCGCGAGCGCCCAGCTTCCGCGTCGAAGACCGCGGGGCAATTGCCGAAGGCCGCCCAAAACCGCCCGATGACCGCCGGAGACCGCCGAGGACGGCCCAGGAGCGATGGGTAACAAGGGGGCCATGGTCTAACACGTGAAGTCCGTCGCGCTTTATTCGGCGGCGCGAACAGGGGGTTGGGGGGAGAGGGGAAGGCTTCTTAAAAGCACCCCTGCTTCTCAAAAGGTGCGGGCCTTGTCTGTAAATGTGAGGCTGGCGCCGCTGGCGCCTTCTGAGCAGCGGCCTCCTTCTGGGAAGCCTCCCCCCTGCCCCCCTCGGACGGGGATAAACCCGTTTCAGAGCAGTCCAGAACGCTCTCAGACCGTTCCCGAACGCTCTCAGGAGGCCGCGGCGCCCGAGACATCCTCCAGAGCTTCCGGATCTCAGAGATTCTGGATTCATCCTCACCCGATTCTATTCTCGTCCTGGCTTCGTCTTGCCCCTCTTGCCGCCGACCGTCCCGCGGCGCGAGCCCGCCTGGGGGAAACGCACGACTCGAGAACGCCGGAACTCGGGTTTGCCGTCGCTTTTAGACGAGCGCGTTCTGGATTTCGACAGTCCAGTTTTCGTGGGATGCCTGCAGCGGGAGCTCGCGTCAAATTTCAGACTGGATCGCGTCATTTTCATGATGGCCTCGTCGGGCAAACCCGAAGGAGGACGAGGAGGAGGAGGACAAGGAGGAGGACGAGGAGGAGGACGAGGAGGAGGAGGAGGAGGAGGGGGGAGGAGGAGGAGGAGGAGGAGGAGGAGGAGGAGGAGGAGGAGGAGGAGGAGGAGGAGGAGGAGGAGGCGGAGGCGGAGGCGGAGGCGGAGGCGGAGGCGGAGGCGGAGGCGGAGGCGGAGGCGGAGGCGGAGGCGGAGGAGGAGGAGGAGAAGGAGGAGGAGGAGGAGGACAAATAGAATATGAAGCAGAAGAAGGAGGAGGAGGAGGAGGAGGAGAAGGAGGAGAAGGAGGAGGAGGAGGAGGACGAGGATTGTTTTGCCCGCGGGGCTCCAGATGCTGGGTGGAAAACAGGTTGCGAGGCAGCGAACATGGCACCTATTAAAATATGCAGTTACGCTCGCAAAAGGTCGCAAGAGTGCACTCGCACCTGAGGCTTTCGCGAGTCAGGGTGCTTGCCTTTTCAAATGCCTTTCCATGTATATTTCATGCGCGCCTCCATCTTGCGAGGGCAGCGTCTATACATATTGCTCTTGAGTGGGGAGCCCACAGACAGAGTAGAACTGCAATGCACGCATACATAGAGCGCACTCGAATCGGAGCAAGCAAGAACGACTATGATGTGATTCTCGGCAGTTGCACGTGCGAGATCGATCTCTCTCGCAATGCCGCTACACACGCGCTTTGGCGGATCGCCCGGCTGTTTCGAGTTCCGTCCGATCTTGCAATAGGCAGTGCATCTCCATCCTTGGGCTATCCACTGAAAATCACAATGTGTCCGCGTTTTTCGCTGGGACACGTACTGGGGCGTATAGGCAACGTCACCATACTTTTTTAATGTAGGGGAACTGCCTAGCAACTTCATACACAGCAAACAATAAGAGTTCAACTATTCGACCTGGACTTTGGTGCGCTCTTGAAGCTCGTCATCTGGGGCCGGGTGCAAAGCCGCAGCCGCTTTCGCTCCCTGGTCCGACAGGTGTTTTCCTGTGCGGTTACACAGCTCAGTCTCGCTGATGCCCTCTTCCTGCAGAGACTGATGGGCTTTGATCTGGATCAAGCCCGTTAAATGCTGACGGTGCTCGTCGGACTGCGCTTGAAAGATGTGTCCAGCATATTGTGTCTTAAAATGGCTGGCTTGTTCTCGAGCGTCAGAATAAGCCTTCGCTACGCCCAAACAATCAGAAACAACTACACTCGTACCTGAAAGGCACATTACCGTGCCAGTCAGTGCAGAATGCTCGGCGCACTGAGCTGTCTGAGGGAGCGGGGCCCAAACATGGCACTGCATGACACAAATGAGTCGCCGGTCTTTGAACACAGTGCATGCCCATCCTGCGCGTCGCAGCTCGCGCACTGGGTGTGTCGTGCAACCTCCGTCAATAAAAATAATACCTGAGATATCCGTGATATTCTCAGGCGGATCTACGTGCCAGTTTACAAACCAAGAGCCTTCGGCGAGGGGGGCGAGGTACTCGTCACCTGGGTGAGGGAATCCTCCCCTTGTCATCGCGAAAAGGTGATTGCGGTCTCCCACGAACCGATCGATTCCAGCGAGGGTCCTTGGGGCCACGAGCTCTTTCCGTTCTTCTTCTAGGCATGGACACTTCCAAATGCGGTGGAACATGGTGTCCCTCGCGCCGCAGCCGAGTGGGCAATCCTCAGGGTAAACGTAGCCTCGGCTGCGAGCATATGTTCTGGTCAATACTGCTCCACAGGCGGTAGCGCGGAGGATGCCCTTCTCGAGGGCCGTGAACTTTGAGGAGTTAAAGTGCTTGCTGACGATGTCATAGCACGCTCGTCCTGGGAACATATTTTTCTCGCCGATGTCCTTTTCCAGCCGACGAAAAACGGCGTCCCTGAGGAGGCGCTTCAGCATCCCAGGGGAGTGCATCATTAAAGAAAACTCATCCCCCCTGATCCGTGATCATCGTGGCAAGATTAACCATTTCCCAGCCGAGCCTCTGGAGGCTCATGCGGAGGGCAGATATCGGGCCGGCGACGGATCTCCAAGTTTTCGTTTTCGTACCGCAAGCTATCTCCCAGGCGGTCCTAAGGATAGAGAAACTGAGGATGGAGTGGTCAACCTGGAGATGTGCGTGCCAGACTTCATGCCAGCGTAAAATGGGGGCCACCTGGATCATCCAGGTGGGGTCCTGCTCGAGCAGGAGCAGGATCGAGAGGGAGCGGTCGTCGGCCGCGGGTTTTGACACGGAGGCGAACGACCTTCCTAACGCCCGCAGCTCGGTGTCTGACACCCCGTGGACCTCCGCGCCGTACGTGGCGGCCGGCAGAGGCCCCGCGACCCAAATATTACGAACTCGGCGCCCCAAGGATTTTTGGAGTTTGCCGAGCCTCTTGGCCCTGGCCATGGCTTTCTTTTTCCTAGCCTTGGACTTGCAATTCCGTCCTGCGTGGCGCACCGGCTTGCCGACGCTGTCGTCGACCCCGAGGTGGGAGGTGGCGGCGCACAGGGGGCCTGTGAGGGACGCCCCAAGCTCCTCCTGGATCTGAGCGCCGAGGGCTTTCTTCGAGCACAACAAGACGCCCTTATCCTCGGCGGGTGTCGCAGGAGGAGGAGGAGGAGGAGGAGGAGGAGGAGGCGGGCGAGCAAAAGAGCCAAAAGCCTCTTGGATGCCTCTCGGAATTTCTTGGGATATCTAGGCAAGTGAGTTCACTGTGCGAGCTACTGAAGAGAGCGAGGAGGAATGGAGGAAGGGGAGGTGGATGAGGAGGAGGATTGGAGGAGGAGGTGGAGAGGAGGGGCGAGGAGGAGGAGGAGGAGGAGGAGGAGGAGTCCCGCCAAACCCGAGCCTTGCGTCTCCCCGAGACTTTGCCGCCGCCTCCTCGCGCCGAGCGGCGTCGGCCCGCCGTCGCCCGCGGAAACGCGCCCGCGGGCGCGCGCGGGCCGTGCCCCCCTCGGCGCGGCGCGCTCGGCTGTCGGACGCGTCCGAGCGCGCGGCGAGGAGGGGCCGCGGCCGACGAGGAGGGCCCGGAGGGGCCAGGGGTCCTCCTCCTCCTCCCTCCTCCTCCTCCTCCTCCTCCTCCCTCCTCTCCTCCTCCTTCTCCTCCTCCCCTCTCCTCCTCCTCCTCCTCCTCCTCCTCCTCCTCCTCCTCCTCCTCCTCCTCCTCCTCTCTCTCCTCCTATTCCATCCTCTCCCTCCTCCCTGCTTCCTCCGCCCTCCTTTCTCCTCCTCCTTTCCTCCTTCCCATCTCCGCCCTCCTCCCTAAGAGACGGGGGTCAGAGCAAACGGAGTTCTGTCAGAGCGCCGGATCTTGCAGTGTCCTGCAGGATCCTGCAGGGCCAGGGGCGCACTGAACCGGGGTTGGTTGCAGGATCCTGCAGGATCCTGCAACGCCCGACCGACCCGGGCTTGGATCGACCGGGATCAGTGGATCCCCGACAGAGCCTCGGGCGGGTGGTCATGCAGAGGGTGACCTGAAGGGGGGGGGGTGAAGAAGAGGGGGTCCTTTTGGGCCTCCTTGCTTCACCCCCCAAACTCAGGTCACCACCCCATGACCGCCCGCCCGAGAGTCGGGCACTGCGTGATGGTGGGGCGATCAAAGGGGGGCCTCAATGGGCCCCAAGGGGCGCCCCTGGAGCCCCGAAGGGGCACGAGAGGTACGCGTTCCTCCCCCCCCTTTACTCGTCCCCACCACTGAGCGACGCCCAACAGAGGGGGGTGAGGACAGCAAGGGCCCCAGATCTCCGACATATCTGATTCGTTCGACAAGCGTTTTCTCCTCTCGCTCGGGGCCCTCGGGGTCGTTCTTCGGCACCTGGGGCCATCAAAGATACAGTCGGGGCCCTGAAGAAGGAACCCTTTTCGTTGGGGAGGGGCTCCGCGTTCCTCAAGTGTCTCGCAGCTTGCCTCGGGTTTTCCTTATGTGTTCGATCAGAAGTCGAAGTTTAACTTGTGGAAACAAGGGGCCTCGTTCCTTATTTAGGGTTCCTTGGGTCAACGCCCCGACTGTAGTTCTGGCGGGAGGAGGCGTCACCCCCATAGGGGAGGCGTCGGGTTCTCTCGTGCCCGAGGTCGGAGGCTGTCTGCTGTGCCTGGGAGGCTGGGAGGGGTGGGGGGTGGGGAGTGGGCATCATGACCGGGGCCATGAGGTCTCCCCAGATGTCATGGCCCCCTCTTCTTGTCATTGCGCTTTGATCATTTAGAGGCGTTCCTCGTTTCTTGCAGATTGTAGTATGGCCATTTTCGACTCAGCCTATTAATAGTATTCCTGCTGTTATTTAATGCGTCGTCGTCTTACTTAGTATTACTTTTATGCTAGTCATCATTGTTGTTGGTACTAGTAATGTTTGTAACACTTGTGCTGTAGTTAAGAGTGCTAGCATTCTTATGCTCAGTAGTACGTATCATTCGTTATATGGTTCATAATGGCTTGTTGTTGTAGGTATTGTTGTTAGATACATGACATGTTATTCGTTTTCGTAGTGCTCGTAGTGTTAGTAGTCTTAGTTTATTGGGATCGTCGTTTTTCTTATCATTGATATCAAGAGTGTTGTTATTCGTAGTTCCCAACCATCCTGTGGTGTTGGGTCCTCGTTTTGAAGAGACGGTGTCCCGCGTCTCCTTCCTTCCTCCCGCTGCCCCCTCCCTCCTCCTCTCCTTCCTCCTCCCTCCTCCCCCTCCCTTCTGGCACACCCCTCGCACGCTTCGTGGCCCCATAGGGAGCTCCGCCGAAGGCCCCAGTGGCTGCGCCCGCATGCGGTTCCACCCCCCATTCTGGCACACCCCTCACACGTTTCGTGGCCCCATAGGGAGCTCCACCGAAGGCCCCAGTGGCTGCGCCCGCATGCGGTTCCACCCCCCATTCTGGCACACCCCTCACACGTTTCGTGGCCCCATAGGGAGCTCCACCGAAGGCCCCAGTGGCTGCGCCCGCATGCGGTTCCACCCCCATTCTGGCACACCCCTCACACGTTTCGTGGCCCCATAGGGAGCTCCACCGAAGGCCCCAGTGGCTGCGCCCGCATGCGGTTCCACCCCCCATTCTGGCACACCCCTCACACGTTTCGTGGCCCCGCTCCACCGGCCCCAGGGGGCTCCACCATAGGACTGCCCCAGTGGCTGCGCCCGCATGCGGTTCCACCCCCCATTCTGGCACACCCCTCACACGTTTCGTGGCCCCATAGGGAGCTCCACCGAAGGCCCCAGTGGCTGCGCCCGCATGCGGTTCCACCCCCCATTCTGGCACACCCCTCACACGTTTCGTGGCCCCATAGGGAGCTCCACCGAAGGCCCCAGTGGCTGCGCCCGCATGCGGTTCCACCCCCCATTCTGGCACACCCCTCACACGTTTCGTGGCCCCATAGGGAGCTCCACCGAAGGCCCCAGTGGCTGCGCCCGCATGCGGTTCCACCCCCCATTCTGGCACACCCCTCACACGTTTCGTGGCCCCATAGGGAGCTCCACCGAAGGCCCCAGTGGTTGCGCCCGCATGCGGTTCCACCCCCCATTCTGGCACACCCCTCACACGTTTCGTGGCCCCATAGGGAGCTCCACCGAAGGCCCCAGTGGCTGCGCCCGCATGCGGTTCCACCCCCCATTCTGGCACACCCCTCACACGGTTCGTGGCCCCATAGGGAGCTCCACCGAAGGCCCCAGTGGCTGCGCCCGCATGCGGTTCCACCCTCCATTCTGGCACACCCCTCACACGTTTCGTGGCCCCATAGGGAGCTCCACCGAAGGCCCCAGTGGCTGCGCCCGCATGCGGTTCCACCCCCCATTCTGGCACACCCCTCACACGTTTCGTGGCCCCATAGGGAGCTCCACCGAAGGCCCCAGTGGCTGCGCCCGCATGCGGTTCCACCCCCCATTCTGGCACACCCCTCACACGCTTCGTGGCCCCATAGGGAGCTCCACCGAAGGCCCCAGTGGCTGCGCCCGCATGCGTTTCCACCCCCCATTCTGGCACACCCCTCACACGTTTCGTGGCCCCATAGGGAGCTCCACCGAAGGCCCCAGTGGCTGCGCCCGCATGCGGTTCCACCCCCCATTCTGGCACACCCCTCACACGTTTCGTGGCCCCATAGGGAGCTCCACCGAAGGCCCCAGTGGCTGCGCCAGCATGCGGTTCCACCCCCCATTCTGGCACACCCCTCGCACGCTTCGTGGCCCCATGGGGAGCTCCACCGAAGGCCCCAGTGGCTGCGCCCGCATGCGGTTCCACCCCCCATTCTGGCACACCCCTCACACGTTTCGTGGCCCCATAGGGAGCTCCACCGAAGGCCCCAGTGGCTGCGCCCGCATGCGGTTCCACCCCCCATTCTGGCACACCCCACACACGTTTCGTGGCCCCATAGGGAGCTCCACCGAAGGCCCCAGTGGCTGCGCCCGCATGTGGTGCGCCCCGGATCTATGCGGTTCCACCCTCACATTCTGGCACAACTACCCCTCACACGTTTCGTGGCCCCATAGGGAGCTCCACCGAAGGCCCCAGTGGCTGCGCGCGCATGCGGTTCCACCCCCCATTCTGGCACACCCCTCACACGCTTCGTGGCCCCATAGGGAGCTCCACCGAAGGCCCCAGTGGCTGCGCCCGCATGCGGTTCCACACCCCATTGTGGCACACCCCTCACACGTTTCGTGGCCCCATAGGGAGCTCCACCGAAGGCCCCAGTGGCTGCGCCCGCATGCGGTTCCACCCCCCCATCTGGCACACCCCTCACACGTTTCGTGGCCCCATAGGGAGCTCCACCGAAGGCCCCAGTGGCTGCGCCCGCATGCGGTTCCACCCCCCATCTGCACTCCCACCCAACAAACGCTTCGTGCCCCATAGGGCTCCACCGAAGGCCCCAGTGGCCTGCGCCCGCCTGCGGTTCCACCACCATTCTGGCACTAAATAAAAAAAAATAGACACCCCTCACCACTGTTCTGGCCCCATAGGGAGCTCCACCGAAGGCCCCAGTGGCTGCGCCCGCATGCGGTACCACCCTCCATTCTGGCACACCCCTCACACGTTTCGTGGCCCCATAGGGAGCTCCACCGAAGGCCCCAGTGGCTGCGCCCGCATGCGGTTCCACCCCCCTTTCTGGCACACCCCTCACACGTTTCGTGGCCCCATAGGGAGCTCCACCGAAGGCCCCAGTGGCTGCGCCCGCATGCGGTTCCACCCCCCAGTCTGGCACACCCCTCACACGTTTCGTGGCCCCCATAGGGAGCTCCACCGAAGGCCCCAGTGGCTGCGCCCTGCATGCGGTTCCACCCCCCATTCTGGCACACCCCTCACACGTTTCGTGGCCCCATAGGGAGCTCCACCGAAGGCCCCAGTGGCTGCGCCCGCATGCGGTTCCACCCTCCATTCTGGCACACCCCTCACACGTTTCGTGGCCCCATAGGGAGCTCCACCGAAGGCCCCAGTGGCTGCGCCCGCATGCGGTTCCACCCACCATTCTGGCACACCCCTCACACGTTTCGTGGCCCCATAGGGAGCTCCACCGAAGGCCCCAGTGGCTCCGCCCGCATGCGGTTCCACCCCCTATTCTGGCACACCCCTCACACGTTTCGTGGCCCCATAGGGAGCTCCACCGAAGGCCCCAGTGGCTGCGCCCGCATGCGGTTCCACACCCCATTCAGGCACACCCCTCACACGTTTCGTGGCCCCATAGGGAGCTCCACCGAAGGCCCCAGTGGCTGCGCCCGCATGCGGTTCCACCCCCCATTCCGGCACACCCCTCACACGTTTCGTGGCCCCATAGGGAACCCCACCGAAGGCCCCACTGGCTGCGCCCGCATGCGGTTCCACCCCCCATTCTGGCACACCCTCACACGTTTCGTGGCCCCATAGGGAGCTCCACCGAAGGCCCCAGTGGCTGCGCCCGCATGCGGTTCCACCCCCCATTCTGGCACACCCCTCACACGTTTCGTGGCCCCATAGGGAGCTCCACCGAAGGCCCCAGTGGCTGCGCCCGCATGCGGTTCCACCCTCCATTCTGGCACACCCCTCACACGTTTCGTGGCCCCATAGGGAGCTCCACCGAAGGCCCCAGTGGCTGCGCCCGCATGCGGTTCCACCCACCATTCTGGCACACCCCTCACACGTTTCGTGGCCCCATAGGGAGCTCCACCGAAGGCCCCAGTGGCTCCGCCCGCATGCGGTTCCACCCCATTCTGGCACAAACGCAAACTCCCTCACACGCTTCGTCCCCATAGGACTCCACCGAACCCAGTGCCCCCTCCGCACTGCGGTTCACCCACCATTCTGGCACACCCCTCACACGTTTCGTGGCCCCATAGGGAGCTCCACCGAAGGCCCCAGTGGCTGCGCCCGCATGCGGTTCCACCCCCCATTCTGGCACAGCCCTCACACGTTTCGTGGCCCCATAGGGAGCTCCACCGAAGGCCCCAGTGGCTGCGCCCGCATGCGGTTCCACACCCCATTCTGGCACACCCCTCACACGTTACGTGGCCCCATAGGGAGCTCCACCGAAGGCCCCAGTGGCTGCGCCCGCATGCGGTTCCACCCCCCATTCTGGCACACCCCTCACACGTTTCGTGGCCCCATAGGGAGCTCCACCGAAGGCCCCAGTGGCTGCGCCCGCATGCGGTTCCACCCCCCATTCTGGCACACCCCTCACCCGCTTCGTGGCCCCATAGGGAGCTCCACCGAAGGCCCCAGTGGCTGCGCCCGCATGCGGTTCCACCCCCCATTCTGGCACACCCCTCACACGTTTCGTGGCCCCATGTCGAGCTCCACCGAAGGCCCCAGTGGCTGCGCCCGCATGCGGTTCCACTCCCCATTCTGGCACACCCCTCACACGTTTCGTGGCCCCATAGGGAGCTCCACCGAAGGCCCCAGTGGCTGCGCCCGCATGCGGTTCCACCCCCCATTCTGGCACACCCCTCACACGTTTCGTGGCCGCATAGGGAGCTCCACCGAAGGCCCCAGTGGCTGCGCCCGCATGCGGTTCCACCCCCCATTCTGGCACACCCCTCACACGTTTCGTGGCCCCATAGGGAGCTCCACCGAAGGCCCCAGTGGCTGCGCCCACATGCGGTTCCACCCCCCATTCTGGCACACCCCTCACACGTTTCGTGGCCCCATAGGGAGCTCCACCGAAGGCCCCAGTGGCTGCGCCCGCATGCGGTTCCACCCCCCATTCTGGCACACCCCTCACACGATTCGTGGCCCCATAGGGAGCTCCACCGAAGGCCCCAGTGGCTGCGCCCGCATGCGGTTCAACCCCCCATTCTGGCACACCCCTCACACGTTTCGTGGCCCCATAGGGAGCTCCACCGAAGGCCCCAATGGCTGCGCCCGCATGCGGTTCCAACCCCCATTCTGGCACACCCCTCACACGTTTCGTGGCCCCATAGGGAGCTCCACCGAAGGCCCCAGTGGCTGCGCCCGCATGCGCTTCCACCCCCCATTCTGGCACACCCCTCACACGTTTCGTGGCCCCATAGGGAGCTCCACCGAAGGCCCCAGTGGCTACGCCCGCATGCGGGTTCCGCCCACCCATTTTTCGGCACACCCCTCACACTTTCGTGCCCCACAGGGGAGCTCCGCCGAAGGCCCCAGTGGTTGCGCCCACATGCGGTTCCACTCCCCATTCTGGCACACCCCTCGCACGCTTCGTGGCCCCATAGGGAGCTCCAACGAAGGCCCCAGTGGCTCCGCCCGCATGCAGTTCCACCCACCATCCTGGCACACCCCTCACACGTTTCGTGGCCCCATAGGGAGCTCCACCGAAGGCCCCAGTGGCTGCGCCCGCATGCGGTTCCACCCCCCATTCTGGCACACCCCTCACACGTTTCGTGGCCCCATAAGGGAGCTCCACCGAAGGCCCCAGTGGCTGCGCCCGCATCGGTTCCACCCCCCATTCTGGCACACCCCTCACACGTTTCGTGGCCCCATAGGGAGCTCCACCGAAGGCCCCAGTGGCTGCGCCCGCATGCGGTTCCACCCCCCAGTATGGCACACCCCTCACACGTTTCGTGGCCCCATAGGGAGCTCCACCGAAGGCCCCAGTGGCTGCGCCCGCATGCGGTTCCACCCCCCATTCTGGCACACCCCTCACACGTTTCGTGGCCCCATAGGGAGCTCCACCGAAGGCCCCAGTGGCTGCGCCCGCGTGCGGTTCCACCCCCCATTCTGGCACACCCCTCACACGCTTCGTGGCCCCATAGGGAGCTCCACCGAAGGACCGAGTGGCGCCCCGCATGCGGTTTCCACCCCCCCAGTCCTAGCACAATACAAAAACCCCCCTCACACGTTTATCGTGGCCCCATAGGGACTCCACCGAACCCCAGTGCTTCGCCCGCATGCGTTCCCACCCCCCATTCGGCACAACTTCCTTTACACGTTTCGTGGCCCCATAGGGAGCTCCACCGAAGGCCCCAGTGGCTGCGCCCGCATGCGGTTCCACCCCCCATTCTGGCACACCCGTTACACGTTTCGTGGTCCCATAGGGAGCTCCACCGAAGGCCCCAGTGGCTGCGCCCGCCTGCGGTTCCACCCCCCATTCTGGCACACCCGTCACACGCTTCGTGGCCCCATGGAGAGCTCCACCGAAGGCCCCAGTGGCTGCGCCCGCATGCGGTTCCACCGCCCATTTTGGCACACCCCTCACACGTTTCGTGGCCCCATAGGGAGCTCCACCGAAGGCCCCAGTGGCTGCGCCCGCACGTCTCTTGAGCCCCCATTCATGCAACCAGAGCAGTTCCCGTGGATCGCGGCCCAATAATGGAGCTCCACCGAAGGCCCCAGTGGCTGCGCCCGCCATGCCGTTCTCCACCCCCATTCTGGTCACACCCCTCGCACGTTTCGTAGGCCCAATAGTAATAAAAAATAGAACACTTGTAAAGGAACACACAAAAACGAAAAATAAAGTCAAAAACTAGTATAAACATTAGGACTCCACCAAGACCCAGTGGCTGCGCCCGCATGCGGTTCCACCCCCCATTCTGGCACACCCCTCACACGCTTCGTGGCCCCATAGGGGGCTCCACCGAAGGCCCCAGCGGCTGCGCCCGCATGCGATTCCACCCCCCATTTTGGCATACCCTTCACACGTTTCGTGGCCCCATAGGGAGCTCCACCGAAGGCCCCAGTGGCTGCGCCCGCATGCGGTTCCACCCCCCATTCTGGCACACCCCTCACACGTTTCGTGGCCCCATAGGGAGCTCCACCGAAGGCCCCAGTGGCTGCGCTCGCCTGCGATTCCACCTCCCATTTCGGCACACCCCTCACTCGTTTCGTGGCCCGGGGGCGCCACCGAAGAATATATCCACAATATGCGGTATTCACAAGTACGTATGGTTGGGTATTTCGTCAGGCTCATCGTAATATGTTTTATGTGTACTCGTATCCGTATATTTAAGAATAATATGATCTAACTCTTCTTTCAGTACGTTTCCTGATCCCCCCCTCGTCCGCGCACACGCCTCGGACCAGTACGCACAATTTCCAATCTCCCCCTCGTCCTAGCACCCCCCCCCTTTGGACGGACCCGAAGCGGAGGGAGGCACTTGCATTCGAATGAGATTGCGTAAACATGAGCTTTTGGAGGTCCGCGCGGATGTCTTGGATCTGCGCCGGGCCCCCTTGCTGCTGCCCCTGGATTGCGTCGCTCGCAAGGGAGGGGGGCCCAGCGCCGACCCGAGAGCTCCGCGCGGAGATCCCAGAGTTTATGCTCGTGCCGTGCCCGCTTTTCAGGTGCCCGGCCAGGGCCATCCCCTGCCGCAGCAGGCGAGGGCGCGAGTGAGCCCCCTAGCGGCGTGGCGACCACACCGCACGGTGAGCCAGTGGGGACCCGGGGTCACCGCACGGTTGTGTGACTCGGCCTGTTCTCCGAGGACGTCTCTTGGGCGACCGAGGTCTCACCGAGGTCCCCAGTCCGTGCGGTGGCGGACCGCGCGGCGAGGTCGTTGGGGGGGCTTCGAGGTCCCCATAAGATCCGTCACCGCACGGTTCTAGCCTCCTGCTCCTCCTCCTCGCCTCCGCCTCCGCCTTCGCCTCCGCCTCCGCCTCCTCCGCCTCCGCCTCCACCGCCGCCGCCGCCGCCGCCTCCGCCTCCTCCGCCTCCTCCTCAACCTGGGCCCCGAAGTGGGGGCAGAGGCCCGCAATGCATTTTGCTTGGTCTTCGGTCAAGGCCAGAAGCCCGTTGCAGGTGCGGGCCAGCGCAGCCACAAGGGGCCGCGCGGGCCGCCTGGCCCAGCCCGAAAGCGCCGGTCGACCCACACCCTTCCACGGCCAGAAGGAGAAGATGAGCGCAACGGCGGTCGTTCGCCCTGGAGCAGTCAGCACGTGGACGACTTGAGCTGGAACCGCGTGAGCGGTGGCCACTCCATCCGATGTAGGCTTCTGGTGTGCAGATGTATCGATCGGAGGTTTGGGGCGAGTTCGAGGTGGAACGGAGAGACCCCTCCCCACCGCGAAATCGGTGTCGTGCTCGTGTTCATGTCGTGCGTGCGGGCGAGGCGAAGCTTCGCGGGCGGGCAGGAGTGAACCCGCCGTGGCCAGGGCGGACTGGAGCTCAATGACTCGACGCCCCCCGGTTGGCCTGGGGTGGCTCGGGGATGTCCCGCTGATGTCCCGTGGTGTCCCATGGTGTCCCGCGGTGTCCCGTGGCGCGGAGTCCTGTGGTGTCCCGTGGGGTCGATTATGAGAGCAATCGTGTGAGCGATAGACAAATCGACAGTGAGGTCGAGAGTGAGGCGGAATGCAAGGTCGATAGGTCGTGAGATCGATAGACATATGTGTAATACTTTTTATATAAATAGAAAAAGAGATAGAGATAGAGAGAGAGAGTCTCCAGAGAGCCCTAAGACGGTTCAACGGCCCCTCGGCGGCCCCAGAGAGCCCCAAGACGGTGGTCCAAGAGGTGCACAAGACGGCCCAAGAGGGCCCGAAGAGAGACCCAAGAGGTGGAAGCCGACATCACATTTCGAGCTCGCCGCCCCAAGTGGACCCCCGAGGACGCCAGCAGGCCTTCAAGAGACCCCCAAGGGTCCCCGAAAAAGATTCCGAGAGGCCCCCAAGAGACCCGGCAGTACAGAATCCGCCAAGAAGCCTCTTGCCCCAAATTCAGGCACGGTGGTGGTACAGGCCGAAGACCATAGATAAGCAAACACTTGGCCTGGCGACGGGTCCATCCCTGTGCTGTCACGTGCAGCGCAGGGCGCGGCCCTCTCTTCATACAATGTGCGCCGCGGGACTGGGCTGATATCAGGCTGCTGTGGAGCAAGCATGCACAGGCGCGCTGGACTCTGTGTGGGGCACGATCCGCGTGAAGAGGGTGCCTAATAATCCAGGTGACCTCTCGCGAACCTGCCCACTGGGGCAATGCCCGTGTGAGGCAAATGCCAAACCGGGCGGGGGGACGCTATGCTAAGTTGCTTATTGGTGCCATAGGTGGAGCTCGTTCCAGGGCGCTACTCGCGTGAGCAGTGGCCAGGCATGGGCAGATGGACGATGCGCAAACTTTGTCTCTGGGGCTGTGGGTGGTGCTGTCGGTAGGACACGTTCCTCAGGAGGTGTGTGCCGCAGTAGGGGGGACGCTATGCAGCTCTTTGCAGTTCACGATCCGTGTGAAAGATGTGCCGACGTGAGTGGGGCGATGCCATGCGAAGCTTTCTTGTAAGTGCAGTTGCCTGTGGGTCAGCACTATCCGCGTGAAGGGTATGCCGTTATGCAATGGGGTTGTAGGTGAAGTTCCTTGTTGGGCACGATCTTTGTGAGGGATATTCCGAGATGGTTTGGGGGCCGTAGGTGGAGTTCCCTGAGGGCATGACCCGTGTAAAAGATGTTCCGAAATAGGCGGGGAGACGCGATTCAGATATGTATGCCCTTGATGATGCAGGTGTTCCCACGTGGTGATCGTGGTGGGATGGTGTGCGCACCCACCCGCTGATTGATGTGACTCTGGCTTTGCCTTGGCTCGAACATAAGCGCGCCAAGCGCGCGCGCGCGTGGTTCTAGTACATTTATACATCATGGATTGAATACAGAGGCCAGGGCCTCGCCCCGCCGCCTAACTTGAGATGGGCTCAGAGGGTGCTCCGCACTGGTGGCTTGCTCGCTCGTTCGTTCCCCGTCCCGTCCCCCCGCGCCGTGCAGTCGCCAACTGTGTGTCTCCTTGCTGCACCGTCTGGCCGCGAGTTCCTTGGACCCTGCGGTGCCCTCATCACCACAAGACCTTTGCGCCTGTCTGTGAACAGTCGAACAGTCATCGTGTTCAGACGGATCTGGGCATGGGCGCCGGTCAGTCGAAATCGCAGTGCGGATGCCGCGGTTGGTTTTTTGGAGGAAGGCGCCGCCGTGGGCCAGACTTGGGGCCCCTGAGGGGCCCCATACCCTGATGTTTCTCGCTCCTCGTTTTGCGCAGAACTGCGGCGGCGAGAATGTACAGCCGGACCGAGGCATAAGATCGAGGTCGGTTCGGGCAGGGTACCCAAGTGTTCTTCGCGCTTCTTGGATGTTCTTGTGCATCCTGGCGAGGGTACCCTTGGATGTTCTTGAGGGATGTTCTTCTGGCCTAGATCTGACTGTACTTCTCGGCGGCGCGCGAGGGGGGGAAGTGACAAGGAGAAGGCCCTCTCAGAAGGCGGAGGGACTTCTCAGAGGCCCTCGGGCCTCTTGGGAAGTTTGTTGTGTCTTCGGGGAAGGCGTCGAGAACTGCTCTGACGGCCGGGGCGTCGAGAGCTTCTCAGAAGGCCGGGGCACTTCAGGGCCTTCTGAGAAGGCCTTCTCCTTCTCACTTCCCCCCCTCGCTCGCCGCCGAGCTGCAGTATGCCATTTGGGCACTCAGCCCTATTGAAGCATGCGTTTTGGCACTCAGCCTTTTGCCCCGCCCTGCAGGTTGATGTTGGATTTAGTGAAACACACACACAGACACACTGAATCGTCGATCCCCCGGAAAGTATGAGGAAATATGGGAAGTGGGGGGAAGACTAAACCCGGTGTGGGAAGTGGGGGGAATATGAGGAACAGGGGAAGTGGGGGGAAGTGGGGGAACATATGCAAAATATAGGGAATCCTGCGATTTGGTGTGTATCTATTGTGTGTCCCTGGGCCCCTTCAGAAAAAAGCGCTCCCCCGTCCGCCCCGAACGCGCCCTGCATGCCCGCCGCCGCGGGGCCCAGCGGGTGTGCTGGTGCCCCACCGGGGGGGGCCCGCCGCCCGCGTCTTCGACGAGAGTTATAGGCGATCTGCACGCCGCGGTCGCCAGGCCCAGATCGGGCCGGACGAAAGGGGGGGATTGGGAAAGGGGGGGGTACGAAATCTGCTGCATGCAGCTGGTTTCGGCCCCGCCGAGGGGGCCATTCCTCGATACATGGCCGCCTCCATTCCTCGATACATGGCTACGTGAGCTGATTCTCCAACCCCCCTTTGCTATCCCCCCCTTTCGCCCGGCCCGACCAGGGTGAGTTACGGGAGCGAGGCAGGACGGAAACGTAAAAGCTCGGAGGTCCGCGCGGGTTTCCCAGATCGGCGCCGCACGAAGTCGGGCGTGTCCCTCTACAGGAGGGATGTTCAAGAATAGTCCGAGAATGGTCTGGGGACGATGTTTTGACAATGTTTGAAAATTTTTGAAATATATTTGGACAGTTTTGATTTTTGTTCTGTCAAAATCTGCCTTTAGGGGGGGCATGCCCGACCTAAGCACTGGACCCCCCTCCCTGGCGCGCGGAGCGCGCCAGGGGCGGCGCCGGAGGCACCGCCAGGGGGATCCAGCGCTGATTCGAGAAATCCGCACGGACCTCCGAGTTTTTACGCTTATGTCATTCTTCGTTCCACTACGAGTGCGCCGGCGCTCCCGGGGTATCCCGCCTCGCGCGCTCGGGTGGGGATCGCCTGGAGTAGAAGAATGGTGCGTCCTTCCCCGAGCCCCCGGCGTCAGGATTGTTTCACGGCGTGGACCCGCAGAGGCCATCTCGTCTCCCCCCATCCCCGAGCTCCGCCCAAGAAGTCTGGCCGCCCAGCCAGGGGGGGAAGCTCTGGGATGCACCCCAGGGGGCTACAGTCAAAAATCCTAATAAGGACGCGCGACTTTGGTCAGGGTACCCTTGCGTCCTTGCTCTTCCTTGCTCTTGCGTCTCCGTCGTTCCTTGGTTTCGTCTTGGAGTTTTCGTCGTCCGCCGCCCCAAAAATCCCAACTTCGGCTTCCAAGGGTCTTGCGTCCTTACCGCGCGTCCTTACTAGGGTTTTTGATTGTATGCGGACGCACCCCTCTCGAGGATGGACGCCCCCCCCCCTCGTAGATCCCAGGGCTGGGCCCCAAAGTTCTGGTCCACTCGGAGACCCCACGAAGCCCGGGATATAGAGTTAAGTCGGGCCTGTCCCTCCACCGGGGGAAGATTGAAAAATAATCCCAAAATAGGTTATATACGTTTTAAAAAAAACATGTTTTTTGTTGTTTTACCATGTTTGGCCATTGGGGGGTATTTTAAAAAGGTATTCTTGAACTTTCGTCCATGCCCCTGTAGGGGGACATGCCCGACCTGAGGATAGAGGCCGCCGAATCCCCTGTGATGGACCCCAGAGGCTCCAAGGGCTGCTTTTTTCCTCCCCGGCCTTCTTGTGTTGGCGCTCGGCGAGGGCCAGCGAGAGGGCCGCCCGAGGCATGCAGGGAAGCCGGTGCGAGGAGATCTCCCGGCGCTGTGCTTCCCCAGGGCATGAGCAGGTTTTGGCACGGCTCGGAGGTGAGCCTTCTCTCTCGGCGAGGACCCTCGAGGAGCACCGCGGAGCATCCAGCAGAGAAGGTACACGCACGGCACCGAACACACGGACACGGGGAGCGGG